CAGGTTTGACAATGTTCCTTTTTGGTCGTTGATTAGCGATAGAACCATGATTCTGCTCCTCTTCTTCATCTTGGTCAGCGCTCCCCCTTTCACCTTGAGTCTCCTTTTCAAGGTTTTCATTCTCAGTTGGAACTTGAATAATGTGATCATCAATCTTGGAGGAACCTGAATCATCTTGCTCAGCTAAGACTTGAGGTGGTCNTGTTGAAGCTTTATACTCTGCTTCGGTAGTAGACAAGGACACCGTTGCTTGCTTCTTGCTGCACCATGAAATGCTTGTGTCTCCACATAAGAACACAAAGCCCGAAGTTGATTTTCGTTCATCTAAATCTCCACCGAAGTCAGCATCTGTGAAACCATGAAGAGAAACCTTGGCATTATACTTGTACATCAGTCCCATGTCAAGAGTTGTTTTCACATACTTCAATATCTTCTTTGATGCTTCTAGGTGTGGCTTCCTTGGTTCCTGCATAAACCGACTTACAAGACCAACCGCAAAGGCAATATCTGGTCTTGTAATGGTTAAGTATAGAAGACTTCCAACAAGAGACCGATAAGGTCGAGGATTGGCTAACAAGGATCCTTCATCGCGTTTGAGCTTTATGTTAGTATCCAGTGGAGTAGAGCGTACCTTTCCTTCATGTACTCCAAACTTATCAACAATTCTTCTTGCATAACTTTGTTGACCGATGAATATTCCATCTTTTAGCCTTTCGACTTCTAGACCAAGAAAGTGATTCAGCTCGCCTAACTTCTTCATCTCAAACCTCACCGACATATCCTCCTGTAGACGAGCAATTTCATCCTCGTCATTTCCAGTAATAATCATATCATCCACGTAGAGGAGAACTACTACGTGAACTCTTCCACTTCTCTTGAAGAATAGGCTTGTATCAGCACTTGATGCCATAAACCCGCAAAACTGAAGAAATTGAGCAAGCTTTCCATACCAAGCTCGTGGAGCTTGTTTTAATCCGTACAAGGCCTTCTTTAGCTTGCACACATGGTTAGGATGCTCTTGTGATTCAAAACCAGGTGGTTGCTCCATAAATATTTCCTTATCAAGCTCACCATAGAGAAAAGCATTCTTCNTTTTTGGTCGTTGATTAGCGATAGAACCATGATTCTGCTCCTCTTCTTCATCTTGGTCAGCGCTCCCCCTTTCACCTTGAGTCTCCTTTTCAAGGTTTTCATTCTCAGTTGGAACTTGAATAATGTGATCATCAATCTTGGAGGAACCTGAATCATCTTGCTCAGCTAAGACTTGAGGTGGTCCGTAGTACGATGAAACGTCGTCAAAGACAACATCACGAGACACTGTATATTTATGAGTCTCTGGATCCATACACCTCCAGCCTTTCCGTTGTTCACCATAACCGACAAAGATACACTTCTTTGCCTTTGCTTCCAACTTTGTTCTTTGAGAGTCGAACACATGGACGTAGCAGACTGATCCAAATATCCTGAGATGTTTCACCGTTGGTTTCTTCCCATGTATCATCTCGTAAGGCGAATTCATGTTGTTTGGACTAAGTGGCATCCGGTTGATGACGTAGGCTGCACATCTCATGCCTTCTGCCCATAAGGCCTTAGGAAAATTCTTATCATGTAGCCAGCTTCTGCACGTCTCGGTTAGATGTCTAATTTTTCTCTCTGCTACTCCATTTGTTGAGGTGTATACGGACATGTATATTCTCTCTTAATCCCATTCTTTTGGCAAAAAGAGAGAAACTCCTTTGACGTGAATTCTCCTCCATTATCTGTCCTTAGAGTCTTCAGCTTCCGACCAAACTCTCCTTCCACGGTAACCTTGAATTCTTGGAATCGTTGAAATACTTCTGACTTTTCCTTCACAAAATATACCTAAGTGTACCGTGAGAAATCATCTACGAACAGCAACATTTAGCGAAAACCGGAATAGGAGGATGTTCTTGTTGGACCCATCAAATCACTATGGACCTTCTCCAATGGACCGCTGCATCTTGAGGATGAATGATCAAATGGAAGTCTATGTGACTTTCCATATTGACAACCTTCACATATTTTTCCTCCATCTTGAGTCTTCAACTTTGGAAGTCCATGAACCAAGTCTTTATTCACCATAACCTTAAGCTTGGTCATATTTATGTGGCCAAGTCTTGCATGCCATATGGAAGCACTGTCATTTGTACTCATCTTCTCCACATAAGCGTGTGATGCTGATAAAACGTATAAATCTTTGACGCGTGCTCCAGTGTGAACAACATCCGCCTTTAACTCTTTAATATTTCTTAAGAACTTAACATCTCTTGGGCCAAATAGAACATAGTTACCTGAGTCAACCGCATTCACCACCGAAAGAAGATTCTTCTTTACTCCAGGCACATGGTACACATTCTTGAGGGTGATCGGTTCTTCATCATCTCCTTTAATGACAACAGTCCCTTCCTTCTCAACTCGGTGACTGAATTATCGGCAGTAATAATAGCTTCTTTCCCGTCATAACATTGAAGACTGGAAAATAACTTCTCATCTCCGGTAATATGATGGCTACAACCTGAGTCTACGATCCAGTCATTTCTCAAGTTCTTAGTTGTGGGTGTACCTGGATGTGTAGACTCCACCGTGAAACATTTTCCCCATTCTTCGTCTTCAGTATGAGTTTTTGACTCCACCATATTTGTCTCCTTCAACTTGACTCGACAATCCCTTTTGAAATGCCCAAGCTTTCCACACCGGTAGCATTTGAACTTTTTCTTATCCATGAAAGATCTTTCACTTCCATCATTGTGTCTTGAACCTCCATCTTTATTTTTCGCCTTGAAGCTTTGTTGTCTCCGAGCTACAAAGGCGTTTCCCGAATCATCAGTGATTTTGACTCCTGACATTTGCATGGATAATGATTCTTGCGAAGCTAGCAAATTCTCAAACTCTTCCAAGGAAGGCTGTATAGCCCATCCTTGAACCGAAGTCACAAATGGTGTATACTCAGACCGTAGACCTCAAATAATAGACCGCTTCAACCGTGTTTCAGAAATTGATTCTTCCGGATTTAGAGTATTAATCTCAGAGCGTAGGTTCTTTACCTTAATGAAAAACTCCGAGATTGAAGACTCCCCCTGCTTTGCATTCACAAGCTCATTCTCCAATAATTGTAGCTTAGCCTCATTCTTCTTGTTGAACAGTTGATCTAAAGCTTGCCAAATGGAACTAGCGGAAGTACACCTTGAGACATGCTCAAATATGCTTGAAGATATGGACCTCTTCAAAGCAAACTCCGCCTTGGCATTCTTTCGTGTCCACTCCTTTGTCACTTCCGGGGTTGCAGCATTTCCCCTTGGTAGTGATGTGCTATTACCACCGACGACATCCCATAAGTCCTCACTCACCAAGTATGACTCAATGCATGACTTCCATAACCGGTAGTTAGATTGGTTTAAGATTTCCATTCCCAATCCAACAACACGACCCGTTGATTCCATACTTAGAACAATCCGGAGCTCTCTTTAAATTCGATCTTGATGAGCACAAGATTAGCTTGGCTCTGATACCATGTAAAGAAACAAACCAAGTTGATAGTGCTTAGCACTAGCCCAAGACCGTAGTACCCGAGAGACCCGAAAGAAACAAGAGAACTTCTAAGTATGAAGAATAATATGGAAGAACTCTCAAAAGGATTTAGGGAACTTTGAGTAGACACTCTTTCTNAAAGAAACAAACCAAGTTGATAGTGCTTAGCACTAGCCCAAGACCGTAGTACCCGAGAGACCCGAAAGAAACAAGAGAACTTCTAAGTATGAAGAATAATATGGAAGAACTCTCAAAAGGATTTAGGGAACTTTGAGTAGACACTCTTTCTTTCTTTTAAGAAAACTTTCTTATTACTTTACTTGTTCAACTTCTTGTGTTATTACAAATGAGAGGGTGAAGAGGTATTTATAGCCTCCTAAACTACCTTACAAATATCTAGATTATTCTACTATAACCTCATTACTTCTTAGATTTTTATTTTATTCTCTAGATTTTTCTACTACAATATCTAGATATTATTCTACTTGAGGAGGTGATGATTTTTCTAGAAAGATTCTAGAATTTTCTTAACTTTGGGTTTAGTCCAATAAAACTATTGGAACCCATAATTAAGCAAAGCCCAAAATCAAGTTTAACTTCAATAAAAATACCCTTAGATGTCCTGTAAAGATAGAAGAGTTTTCAAGTTGGACTTTTACATGATTCATATTTTAGATCACCCACTTTATGAAATATAGGTGTTACTTCATAGTAGTTGGTGGTCATATAAAAAAAATAACATTTAAGTTCGAAGATCCGTTCCACCTGACTGTGTTATCAGATATATATCTTGTTGGATGACAGGTCAGACTTTGTTCTTTACAGAATAATAATCTTACAAAAAGATAAAAGAAATCACACTTAACTGTAATCTCATGTTTTATGAATTTTAGCTAGCCTGATTAAAGAATATGTTTAAAAAGTTAGATCAGTGGACAGAAGGTAAGCAAATTATAACACTGATTAAAGCCAAACTCTCGTTACTACCATAATAATACATGGCTGAATCAACCTGGAAAGTTAGCTGGTAGAGTTGTGGAAAGAGGTTGGTGATTGTGGGCCGCAAGACGATATTAATACAAACAATATAAGATGTAAAGTTGTAAACCATCCTTGTCAAAACTGATTTTCAAATAGTCAAGATTTACTCCAATTATGTAGGCCTAGTATGGACTTGATTAGGAACATGGCCATATATCATTCCATAGGCTTATCTTAGATGATGAACTTCTAGACGACGTAGAGGGTTCCGATGCTGCAGAGAACTTACTAAAACAAACATAAACATATTACTTGGAGTCAAAGTTTCCTCAAGGAAGACAAAACCAAGCTTAAAGACACAGACGTTATACAAGATTCAGATTCAGACAGAGTACAAAACTTCCAGTTACCCTAATGGCTCTCACTTCTCCTACAAGAATCCTCTGTTTTGCTCTTGTCTTGTCAGCTGCATGTTCTCTCCCTCACGCTTCCTCCCATGGCTTCTCCACATCGTTGGATATTCTCCCGAGGATTTGGAATCTCATGATAAACTCATTGAACTCTTCGAAAATTGGATCTCCAACTTCGAGAAAGCTTACAAAACCGTTGAAGAGAATTTGCGTAGGTTCGAAATTTTCAAGGATAACCTGAAGCACATCGACGAGACTAACAAGAAAGTGAAAAACTACTGGCTTGGTCTCAACGAGTTTGCGGATTTGAGCCACGAAGAGTTCAAGAATAAGTATTTAGGGCTCAAGACTGATATGCTAGACACAATGATGAAAAATCTTACCAAGAGTTTGCTTATAAGGAGCCGTAAGCTATGTCAAGAACCAGGGTTCTTGCGGTATGTGTTAAAGTCTCTTGGACTATGATGTGTTATAGTTTTTAAAATTTTCATTTAAATTTTTTGAATTGTTTTCGCAGGAAGTTGTTGGGCGTTTTCGACAGTAGCTGCAGTGGAAGGTATAAACAAGATAGTGACAGGAAACTTGACAACATTGTCTGAACAAGAACTCATAGACTGTGACACAACCTACAACAATGGCTGCAACGGTGGTCTAATGGATTATGCATTTGAGTACATTGTCAAGAACGGAGGCCTTCGCAAGGAAGAGGATTATCCTTACTCTATGGAAGAAGGAACTTGCGAGACACAAAAGGATGAATCTTTGATGGTGACTATCAGTGGGCACCAAGATGTGCCTAGAAATGATGAGAAGAGTCTTTTGAAGGCATTGGCTCATTAACCTCTCTCAGTGTCGCTATTGATGCCTCTGGCAGAGAGTTCCAGTTCTACAAGGGAATAAGTCATTATTAATACTAACTACATAATTCAAGAAAAAGACTGATCCATTGCTTAGTTCTCATGATGTTAATGTGTTTTGGACTTTTGGTATATGAAGGGTGTCTTTGATGGGCAGTGTGGGGTCGATTTGGACCACAGTGTGGCTGCGGTTGGGTACGGATCAAGCAAGGGTTCGGATTACATCATTGTGAAGAATTCTTGGGGACCAAAATGGGGAGAGAAAGGTTACATCAGGATGAAGAGAAACACTGGCAAACCAGAAGGTCTTTGTGGAATCAACAAGATGGCTTCTTTCCCCACTAAAACTAAGTGAAGATACCTATCTTTTCTGCATTTGATCATTATCTTCATATTGATATGAATGTTGTCATGAAATTTTAATTTTAATTGTTTTCGCTTTTTACTTATGAATAGAAATGATAGGAAATAATAAGCTTCCAACTTTCTCAAAACAAAAATAAAATAATAATAATAAAAATAAAAAGCTTTCAAGAAGGAAGTAAAAGAAACAAGAAAAGACTTGATTGAACAGTTTCATGAGTAGAAAGTACATAAAGACAATTGAGGAAGCGTACAAAACAAGAAATAATAATAGTAAACTTGAACATAAATATAAAACTGGCTTCCTTTGTCGTGTAAACATGAACTGATCATCAAGTGTTAGCCAAAGATTGTCCGTCAACAATTTGTGGCTCATCATTGCCATCTCATTCTTGTTCGTATTCGTTCTCCTCTAACGATCTTCCCATAGTTTCCTTCGTGAAGAAATACGTGACAAAGATTCCAGCAATGCAAACTCCACCAAGAATCAAGAAAGCAATTCTCATACGGTTCGCATCAGGATAAAACTGGTACTTATCATCGCCATATTCTACTTTCTTCGTAGCCCACAAGAACCCAACAGTACCCACAATAGCCCCAAGCTTACCTGCGGCTCCAGATATCCCGTGGCAAGTCGACCTAAACCTAGCCGGGAAAAGCTCTGCGGGAATGATAAAAGTTGTAGTGTTGGGACCAAAGTTACAAAAGAAGAAAACCAAACCGTAGAGAATCATGAAGCCTTTCTTTATCTGCTCATGCGTTGACCAATACCAAGTGTACGGTATACCCGCGGCTAAATAAATAACGGCCATGAAGAAAAACCCCATAAGCTGGATCTTGACACGACCTACCTTGTCGATCAAGAAAACCGTGAACCAGTAACCGGGAATGGTGGAGCAAGCGGCGACGATGGCTCCTAGTTTCGACACTTCGAAGGCTGCGTCGTAGACGTTTTTGGTTGCGGAGGAAGAAGGTTTAGAGGAGTAGTTAGTGAAAATTTGGGAGAGGAGGAAGTTGCTTGTGTAGAAGACGACGTCTACTAGGAACCAGTTAGCGGATGCGGCAAAGAGGTCGCGGCCGTGGAGGCGAAGGAAGCGAGTGGAGAAGAGTTTGTATGAAGGCGGCGGAGGGGGAGGTGGCTCCGTCGTTGTTTCGACGGAGATATCAGATATTGACATGACTTTTTGCATGTCTTTTGATGCTTGGACGATATTATTTTCCACCAGTGCTGTGTATCTGCATGCAAAGTAAGTAGCATTTTATGAAAATAGACCATTTATAAATTTGTGAAATTGAATTTTTGTTATTTCTATGACTCCATATAAAATTTCAAACTTATGGAAAGAGCAAACTAATTTTTGGAGGAGCAGACTACAAATTGACATTCTTTATAAATATGCAAATGAACCGATATTCATATCTGTATGATATTGAATTTAAGTACTGTAGTAAGTATGTAGACCGAACTCAATGTATTGGTATTTCAAATTCGTTTCCTTGGAACATGATTATCAAGGAGTTCTACCCCAAGTTCAAAAAAAAAAGAACAATAAAAAAAAGTATGAAAGAAAAAGAGAGAATGAGTATCTTTACGAAACCACTACCAGATACCCCACTAAAATTTTTTGCTCAATTGTCTGGCTGAATATTAAAAAAAAAAAACATAATTAGATAATTATATTTGATTAAAAATTACTCTCTCCATTTCATTTTATATGTCATTCTAGATTTTTCACATATATTAAGAAAACTATTAAATTTATTGTTTTACTCCTATTTAATACATTGATTTCTTTGATTAATTTAAATAATGAGCTGAAAAACTAAAGATAAATTTAGAAAATCTAGCTAAAAATGCATTGAAAACATAAAACGACATTTAAAATGAAACAAAATTAAAATTTTAAAATGACAATTAATACGAAATGGAGAGAGTAATATTTTGATGTTTTAATAAACCTATGTAGGTTGTACCCATGATGTTGTTCTTACTACTCGGCCAAAATCTAGATTTTGTTATTTTGATATATTTTCCTTTTCTACTAACTGGTGTACGGAATATAGTACTTGGTGGACTAGCTGGAGTTGATATAGATATAGTATAGATGAAAGAATAATAAAATTATAAAATATTAAGAAATAAAGTATATGTATTACTATTGGTGAAGACTTTTTTGTTAAAGTTGATTGGTGGAGTTTGGAATAAATTAAGCAATGATAAGATGGCTGGTGAGGTATATGCCACATTGTTTGTTATCTATCCGAATATCCCTACAATGTCAATGACACATTTAAAACAAACCACTAATTTGTAACCCTCTGAATAACTGATATACATCAATAAAATCTAGCTATTAAAATATATAAATAACTACAAACTTTAAGGAATCTAATATATTATATAAAATACCACCAACCATATAAAACCTACCATCAGCTCTAACATTTTCCCCATTTTTAATGTAACAGGAAAACGTTCATTTAGTTACTTACATATATATAAATTAGAGTTGAAGAATGCATCTAGGAATACATGTCAGGCGTCAGCATGGTTTGATGAAAAAGAATGTATGATATCGTAGCTTCTATTGTTTCTTTATAAAAAGAAAAGATGTTAAAGAAGCAGAATGTTTTTTATTTTTTACATTTCAATCCTACGAAATATGTGAAACTGCAAAAAAAAAAAAAAAAAAATTAAATAGATTGAACTGCTGTTTTTGTCCCCAATGAAAAAACTAGCAAGGTAACTTTAATTCTATAGAACAAAATCAGCTTAACTTGTAGCTTTCGCAATTTTGTAGGACTAGGTGGGACAAGTAGCCAATAAATAGTGAGACAAAAACTTATGCCGTACGTCCTTTCTGATTTGTGATTGGAAATATAAAATAATATCAATGAAGTAAAAAGAGTTTGTTGCACCAAAAAATAAAAAGAGTTTGTAAGTAATACTAAAAAAATATGAGAAAGTTTTGGACCAACCTTGCGGTTTCTGGCATCAACATTCGCCAGTATAAGGTCAGTGCAGCAGGAAGAGCACCGATCATAAGTATCAGCCTCCACGCCACGTCAGCTTCAGCCGGAGCCTCCCCATCCGCCTTCGAATCGCCGCCAATGTTTTTAAACGCGACGCAAACAACCATCGTCACGGCAGAGCTCACAAGAATTCCCAACCCTTGCATGGAGAACACGGCAGCTATAAAGGAGCCACGTGTCCTCTTATTCGCGAACTCAGACATGATGGTAGCCGAGAGAGGGTAATCACTACCAATACCCAAACCGAGAATAAACCGAAAGAAACCGAGGCTGACCAAAACGCAAGACCTACGAGTCGTGCACACGGAGAAGCCACAACCAAAAGAGCTTAGGATCATGATGATGAGACAAAACCCGTAGACTCTGCGACGACCAACTCGGTCCCCGAGGTAACCGAACACGAGTTGACCCGTCGCTGTCCCGAGGAGAGCGATGGCGTAAGAGATGGAGAGAACTGGTGTGCTGATGGAGTCACCGTGGTAATAAATATGGCTTATCATTTTCATGATCGGTGCGATGCAGAAGAGGTCGTAAGCGTCGGTGAATAGTCCCATTCCTGCGATTATAATCGCTTTGAAATGGTACCATTGTGTTCGTGCTGCATCAAGCGACGACAATACCTTTATTGACATTTGTTCTTTTCTTGATCTGTGATTCTGACTCCAATGGTGCTTTCTTCTCTTCACTCTTCTTTTGGTTTTGGCTTTAGGCACGCATTAAAGTGAAACAAGGACAATGATTGTTCTTATAATAAGTTAGAGACACGAAGTCTCTGTCCTTTTCTTTTTTATTTTATTTCTATGCTCATGGAATATACTTGTGATTGAATCCTAGGCAGACTTGGTGAGTTGTACTTGTTCGTGTTGTCACGACGGGGCACAACATTTCTTGTTTGAAAATCTCCGGCAGACTAAACCGGACTTTTTGTATTAATCCGTTTAGTTTCGGTTTATTTTACTGATGAAGAGTAAAGTTGTCTGCAGAATCAATACTACGTAAAAGGATAGGTAATTAGCAAATCAAAGCGTCCAAAGAATCCGTACAAGCTGATTTATTGGGACCTAGCTTCTTCTATATCCTTTATTGACATTAAAGATTTAGAACCTCTGACTTAGATAGAGTTTACCTGTCTGATGACAATAGCCTCGAAGATACCGTCTGATCTGAAGTTAGGAGAGAATAGCCGTGGATCAACTGGTCCTGGGAGGCTAAAGGACAGCTTGAACGGTCCAGGGGGACACAGCTTCTGGATATTCATCTTGAAAACCCGAGAATGTCTCTTTATCATTTTGCATCCTGTGGTAGTTGATCCCTCTAGTATAACTTTTCCATCTGATTTAATCTCACAGCTGAATTCACCTGCGCAAAAACACCAAACCAGTTTGTTAGGATTTAGAGGCTCAAAGACATGACTTTGTCTCAGCATAAATCCACAACAAACCAAGAGAGAAGTTGGCTTGAAGTTCAAAAAACAGAGACTGCAAAAAACAGAGTTGTAGAAAGCAAAATATAGAGAGTTTGGAGAAGAGATTAGAGAGAAGGAAAAGATGGGAGCACACACACACAATTTAAGGAGTTCGTGCCCGTTAACAAGGGTCACTACATCTCCCCGAGACTACAGCTCGGAATCCACTAGAAGGTATACATATTACAAGAGCGACAAGTGATTCAATCTTGTTTACACTCATGAACTCACTCTTTGTACTACTCTCTATGTATCTCTACCATCTAAAGCCGTGTGGCTGCGCCAACTCTCTCTCACGTTCATAATGCAGCTTATATAGAGGAGACATCCTCTAACCTAGCTCACAAGAAGACAAAACACAAAGGCTCCTCTTGTGGTCCCAAATCTAACTCAACCCAACTTCAACTTGACTAGAGTTAGACCTTGGTTGCTTTTAATCTTCATTTGCTTGATCAACAAGTGTTATCAACTTCACACAGTTCATGTATTCATCCTAAGGAAGTAGTTAAATGAGTTGAAGAGCATGAAAACAGTACCGGAATCTTTGGAGACACCGGGCAAAGCTACCTGGAAGAAGTAAGCAAATTTATTGACACCAATGTCGACAACACCAGAAGTTCTTTTACTGGCTGTTCCTGTTGTTACAACCACCGGCTCTTCATCACATTCCTTCATCCCTGGAGGAACGCATACAAGTGACAGACCGGTGGATTCATCTGTTTTGTCTCTTTCCATAAGATTTTCCCTAATTTTGTTTGTTGATGAGTTCTTGAAACGTGTTCTCTTGTAACTCTCCCGAGATCTTTCTGGGGTCTTACTGATGATTCCGTAAGAAGCATGAGCAGCAACTCCTTCTTCTTCTTCATCATATTTCGTTCTCTTGCATGTTTCTCGAGGCTCAACAGATAAATTACAGTCTTGGTAAGAGACAAGTCCAGTGGACGTTGTTGCTTCCCAGTTTCTTGAACACTCCTGCTCCTTCCCCTTTCTTTGTGGTATGTCCACTGAGATTACTTCTGGGGCTTTACTGATCAGGCAAACATCATCATCATCATCAGCAGAAACTGATTCATCCTCTTTCTTTCTTTTGCACAGACTCATATTTCTTCCCTCTTTGCTCGTTTTAGAAATGCAGCAAGACAGACTAATTATTATTTTTGCTTATAAAATTAATTAGTTATATATTAATGAATCTGCATTGCACAAGGACACATAAGGGAATCATACGGACATGCAAATATATATATGTAGTTAACACGAAATAGATAAATTGAGAGTCGAACCGCAAGTGAATTCGGAATTTCTGCAATTTTTTCAAAACCATAGATTTGAGAAATTAAAAAAAAAAAACAAACCAAAAACGAGAAGAAGATGCAGAAACTTACATAAAAACAATCAAGCTGTGATGAGTTTAAGGGACCTTATGAGGAACCGAGGAAGGGAGGAGGAGCAGAACAGAGATTTTCATTTCTGCAACAAGAAAATGCCAAATCAATGCAAAAGAAAAGAGGATTGATTGGCCATTGCATGTTTACACTTGGGTCCCGCATTTTAACTGCAGTTGAGTTTTTGGAGTCAAATCGCTTTTTTATCACCTGAGTCGTCACGTGCCTGTCTTCTTGTCAAACATTTATTGGGCTTTTAAAGAAAAGTCTGATAGGCCCGAATTATTTTTTCTTAACTATTAATCTTTTCTTATTAATTTTACAATATAGCCTATATTTTCTGAAAATTCTATGACAAAAGTAATTAACAAAAATTTGAGCTGAATGATTAATGTAGGTCATTTTTCTAACGCGTCTCTTTTGCGTTTCAAGTCCAAAATGATTTAAACAAAGATCTAACGACAAAAATGGAGTTGTTTAAAAATGTGGTGAATGAAAAGTATGATGTTGGAGCCAAAAAAAAAACAGAGGAAATTCAGCAGAAGATGGAGTCGAGTCAAAGACTGAAACAATAAGTAGGATACTGAATAACAATTTTATCAGTCTAGAAACTGTACAAACACGGAAAATAAAATATTCCCTGGAGCTAAAATTTATGCACAGACAAACCAGAAGCTAAGTGAGCTTAATAGACATTACTTTTATATACAATGCAGAGGACTCGACTCAAGAGGACATAGAAAGCTACCCTAACAATCTTCTTACTAACACTCCTTATGCCTTAAGAAAGTGTCTAGTACGAAGACTACTTAAAACCACCTAAAAGAATCAGATTTTGATTCGACCATTCTATCTTATATGCATCTGTATTTGTATTTTCTTTTTTACTATATATAAATGCTTTTTTCTTTGTACACCATATGCTTACTACTTCTACCAGTTTCCAGCGAAAACCCATGTTTCCAGTGTGAAACCATTATATATATATATATATATATATATATATATATATATATATATATATGACGAGTGGCTTATGATAACAGAAGTACCAACCCTGAAACTTCCATTGTCCTTTACCCTTTTGTTTACTTCTTCAGTGAGCAAGACTACTTTACTTACGACGACCTGGTAACAACAGCAATGTGGTGAGATCAACCACACATTTGCAAGTAATGAAACAAATAAGAGGCATTTGTAAGTACCAAGCTTTACCTTAATATGATAAATTAAAAAAATGCGGAAAGCTTAAACAGGAACCCTGCCACTACTCAGAGTAGCAACTTCTTCAATGATTATTTAACTGAAACCAGACATGAATCACATCAAGGTCGTGTCAGTATGTATCATCTCCCAGCCTATTTTAAGACCATCAATAAATAAATACTTACGTGGATCTAGCTTTCACCCTGTTGTTTGATCAGAACCGCTACTCTGCATATGCTGAGGAGTCTGGACCAAGACATGGGGCTGCGTTGGGGCAGGACCTGCTATAGCTGAAGGGTAAGGGGATTGAATATGACTTCCTGGAACTGAATAACCCTGTACCGATGTGTAACCTGGGATATTCTGACTCAATTGCCCATATTGGTAGCCTGGTGAGGTAACTGCACCAGGTACTCCATAAATCTGAAGGTACTGTTGCCCCGCGTAAGGACCATATAATCCCTACAACACCATGACGAGAAGACATAAGATACACAACCCAAGTCAAAACAGTTTTGAATGCAGAAATAAACCAAGAAGAGACTGCAACAATTTAAGAAGCCTACCTGAGACTGTGAGTACATGTACTCAGGTCCATACGGTGTAACCCTGAGAGACGACCAAAAAGATTAAGTAAAATTAGAGACAGATGAGTAAATTGTTTTGGTAGATATAAATAAAAGGAGTAGTATTTATACAACAACGGCTAAAAAACATTACACTACGAAAGGAGGATGCTAGACTAGGAAAAATAGCCTAAAGGTCGATTCCAAAATGTTCATTCCTAAACTCATATCATTTTGGCCTTATCAAGGTCCAAAATACAGTCCATAACCTTGCCTGTCCACAACAAATTGAGCTCGGCCACATATCCTCTGGGATTATTTTTGAATTCCTGCAAGATTACCAATCACAACTGTCACACCCCAGTGCTACTACTCAAGAACCTGACACCCTATGTGGCAGAAGCTAACTATCAACCCCTAGCCCGTCAGAATCTCTAAGTGATTGTCCATGCTGTGATTGGTAAAATCCCACTTGATCAAAGTGACTGAACAAATGCTCCGCCTTTGTTAAAAAGACTAGCAAATAATGTTACAAATAACTAGCTCTTCATAGCAAGCCTGTACAGCATACTCAGGATAGCAATACGAATTTGTAAGCTCTGAATTGGGTAACTCACCCATAAGGGTACATCATTCCTTGCTGGTAGCTATAAGCAGGTGGTTGCTGATACGGATGGCTTCCGAAAAGTGAACCGCGAGGACCCGGCACACTACCAACATATGGGGATGGAGGTCTTATCCGTCCTAACAAAATTAAGTAATGTAATATGAAGGTCACAATAAGTAAAGCAAGATAAAAGCACCTATGAACAATGAAACAAAACTGACCTGGAATATTGGGTATCATCGCATACTGCATTGGAAGCCTAGGTCTCCCAAGGGAAGCGAGATTACAATTCGCACGTCTGCCATCTATAATAGGTGTTGGATCAACACAGGCTCTCCTAGCAGCCTCTGGATCTCTGAAAGTCACCTAAAATCCTCCATAAAAACCAATAACAGAGCGCTGAATCATCCAACAATCTTGAAAATAAACTAACAGATAAAATAATTTAACAATATGAAAATGACTCCTCTGGATCAACTAAACAAGTAGCAAAGATGGCCAGAGAGGTTTCAGACAATCGGTTTTTTAGAATACACAACTAGGATCCTAATTAAACCCTAACAAATCATGTTTTATCTGCGAGCCCCTAAGATGGTATCACCATAACCTCTAAAGCATAACATGGAAGCAGAGGATGTTTGTTCATAACATAACAAGTAGCAATTAAGTTAGCATGAGCGAAAAGAGAGAGAGAGAGAGAGTAAACTCACAAAGCCGTAACCTTTGGAACGACCAGTGTTCTTATCGGTGATAACAACGGCCTCGAGGATATCACCAAAGGGTTCGAAATGGCGACGAAGAGTGTCGCTTTGAGTCTCCCAGGCAAGGCCACCAACAAAGACCTTGGTGAAGGTTGTGTCCCCAAAAGGAGAATTCGAGTAGTGAAACCCAGAGCCCCCCGGAATCGAATGATACGCCATGATTTACAAGGACCCAAAGACTTAAACTTTTTATTTTAATTTTCAGGGGGAAGAAAAGGAAAGAAGATGGACCAAGTAAACCCTAGAGAGTCGTAGGTTGAATGATTAAAGAGTAAAGGTGAAGAAAAGAGTATGGAATTGAGATTCTAGGGTTTACTCGGGTCTGCGAAGAGAGGAAGAGGGAGAGAAAGGGGAAAGAGAGAGATCGGACCCAATGAAACCTAATAAAGGATCATGCTAAATGATCATGACAGAGAAAATTAAAAATATAAAAGTGATAAAAATTTCCCGGGAAAAAAATAAACTAACAGAAAACCAAAAAAAAAAAGAAAAGGAAGTTAGGGGAAAAGGGATATTGAAAGATGGGCCTGAGAGTCGGTGCCGGTAGGTAGACGGTTGGGTCTCTAGGGTTTTCTGATTTGCGACAATTTGGTAAAAACAAAATCAGAAACGAGAGAGACGAGATTTGATTCAAGAGTTGAGGGAGATGGGAGAGAGGGAAGAATCAGTAGGGTGAAAAGTAAGATTAGGTTCGGGGAAATTTACTTTCATGATGAAGAAGAAGTTGGTTGATGACGAGGAGGATGATGCGTGATTATTTGATTTATGAATTGTTCGAGAAATAGAGAGAGTTGGTTTCCTCTTCGCTCCAATAAGAATGGGTCCCGCCTTTTAATTTATGTTAATTAACCATGTAAGTAGTTATTATGGATTCCTTCTCTCGTGAATTTTATCGGTTAAAGCATATTCTGAAATTGTGTAAAGTTACTAAAGTGTAAAATGTAATGTGTCCGGTTTGTTCTTTTTGCCACACCCTCCGGTCTCAGCTAGTAGTGTCTCTTTAAATCCAAAAAAAAAAAAAAAATCAATCAGTGTGTGTGGGTGGATCAAGCTCCCAAACCAAGTTTTATAGATCCAATGTCTTCACCTAGGCCCAGAAGCCCTTATATGAAACAAATGAATGGCATGACTACTTTTTTTGACACAAGAAAATAAGCATCTTCATATGCGTTTTGTTAGGTAATACTCTTAATTAACTTGTATTATTCCAACTGTTGTCTGCATATGGTATCCTATGCGAATCTATCATATATCCCAGGCACAATCTGTCTTAATAGTGTGTGTGTAGATTTATATTTTTAAAATCATTTGAGAGTTGGTTGCATTGTAGTTGTCGTAAGAGTTACATATTGTTTACTTGAGGCTGTTTCAAGTTCTAGAAACAAAATTACTCGAAAACATGTAGCATCATCATTCAAATAGTCAATTTTCCAGGGAACATAAATATCCTAGCTCATATCCACTGTAATACAACTGAATCCATACCGAGTTAGATGAACAAACATCAGAAGCTATACGAGTGACAAAACAGACATATGCTTCTTCTTGATATTCACTTGGCAGAAGGGATATAACGGTTACGATTTACATCTTTAATTAGAAGAGAAGATGGGAGAAACCGAGGAAGAATCACAGCGACAAGGAGACACAACACTACTAAAACCACCACTGACCAGCATGAGTATGCGATACCTAACAGCTGTTCTTCACAAACTGTCACCACAAGAGTGAGATTTCAGAATTTTAGAAGAAACACTTCACCTCACTACCAATTGTATATGTTGTGAAAAGAATAAGATAGTATTGATAAGTAAGAAAAAACTTGCCTATGTTGTATATGATGAACGTCCGTTCTTTCAAACTTGGTATAGCCACGATCCCCTCTGGTTCCACCGTCACCAAAACAAACAATCCATCCTAGAACAAAAAAAAAAAAAAAAGACTCAATGACTAGGATTCATGATTCTTTCCGACTTAAACAAAACTAATTGAAGATGACTGCAGATACCTTGTCATTAACTTCTTCAAGACTTCCTGATTTGAAAACCAACTTCTCAGTGTTTAGTAATCTCCTCATCTGCTTTAGCTTCAAACTCATTTCACCGTTCCTCAATAGTTCCAGCGAGAACAGAGCAGGGATCTTGTCATCATCACAACAAAAAGATGAGACACTCTACAAAGAAACGAGAGTCAAGAACAAGAGAAACAAAATGTTGGACATACAGAAGCTGGGTACGAGATCTTGACTTCATACCAAGAACTTGATTTAAGCCCTACTAATCTGTAAACACGAGATCCAGACTGCAACGGCAGAGTCTCCTTCCACATTTCCTTCCCAGCAAATAGTATTTTTCCATCAAACCTGAAAACATTACATCATTTTCTACTGTACCAATATGAAATTGAAGATGTAACGTTTTTTTTTAAGAACACACTAACAAGCTCTCATGGCTGTGGCAAGGCACAACGATTTTGAAGACGATTAGACATAACAGTAAATAGCATTCTCTGTCTCGTAACTCAATCATCCTACAAGTCCTGAGAGATGAATCAATCGCTGTATCAAGAAAACAACGGCTAAACAACCGATTCGACTCACCAAAAATCGTCGCCGTCGATAGATGATTTGCGTGGGAGATTTCGTCATAATTGGGCCTTAAACTTATTAAATGGGCTAATATCTTAATCGAACAACCTTAGGCCCAATTTTGTTAGCTTGGAGAATAAGAAGTAACAATAGATCCTAACCGTCCACGTCACGCTGACGAGTAGGCATCGCGGTGGTCCGATTTCGACGTGCTAATGTCTACGTGGACGATTGTTAAGAATTTTTTGTCTTGTCTTCTTGTGTAGGGTCCTCTTTATGGGCCCTAAGTCTTAGACACTTACTCAGAAAGTCCAAAACGGTCAGGTAGACATGTGGGCCAGTTATTAAACCAATTTGGCAATTTGCCCATGTTGCTTCCTCTCCTTTCTAAATAATTCATTTCTAATCAATACAATCACCTTTAGTTTTCACTATATTTTTTTGGGTCAACGATATATTTCCCCACGAGAACTATCATATAACATCAGATATCCACCGAACTATGACCTCGTGCTAGATCTCCACTGATCGAAAGTTACAAATTTATTTCTCCCTGAATTGATAGTTCCAAACTTAATTGTCCATAGACTATGGTTTTTATTAGTTTATTGTCAACCCTATAATTTAAACCAAATAAACACGTCAATAATCTAATTTTATCAAACAAGAAAATGCTAATACACTATTCAAACTCCACACTATCACTATTATCAAAGTAAATTTGAAGATTTTCATATTTTGAGAGATTTTGAAACCTTATTTTTTGATAAAATTGAATTTTTGTTTGGTTTTAAATGTGTTTGGTTAACAATAAACCGGCTAAACCGTTTTTTATGTGTAATTAACTTCTAAAGTATTAGTTCGAGGAGTAACAGATTTTGAACTATCGATTCGGGGTGAAATAAGTTTATAACTTATAGTTCGGGGAGATATGGCACGAGGTGATAATTCGATGGATATCTGATGTTATATGATAGTTCTCGTGGGGAAATATCACGTTTACCCTATTTTTTTTGTCAATGTAGTTTTCACTATATACAAACCAACAGTTTTTTATTTTTATTTTTAAAAAGCTTATAATTTGATGGCAACAGAAAAGAAAGCATATATATTTTCTATGTTCTATGGTTTAATAGTTTTTTTTTGTGAGTACAGTTTGTAGTTTACTTCTCATATATATGTACAAATTAAGTATTTATTGACTGTGAAAGCTTGCTCAAATTCAAAACAATGAAAGAAACATTTGGTTTTGTTTTTCTTTTTGTGACTTTATAATTAATACTTTTAATAATTGGTGGATGGGGTGGTGGCAGATCAGAGGTCGCCAAAGATGCGAGGATGGGATTTGGGCATTATCGAAAAGGCTGCCCGTAATTTATGATTGATCAAAACTGCTTTTGAATTTATTTATAAAATCTAGTGGAGACCACTAGTTTTGATTGATCTTTAGTAGATACTCTTAAGTTGTGGCATCATTACACTATAATAAAAATATTGAACACCAATTGTTTTATACTAGTAAGTAGTAACATAGGTATATTTTGGATACCAAGTTCCTCACAAATGATAGGGGAAATATAATTCAGTTTATAAAATGTCAAGTCAAAGTCGAGAAAGTTGAAATATAATATTTCATGTCAAAGAGTGAAAGATTGAAGGTGTAGTAGTGTATGAGTGTATGTAGCAACTAGCAAGCGGTTATTCCCATATATGGTATAATAATATAGCTACAGGTTAATGATATTGTATAATCCAATAATTCTTTTCTGTTTATACAAAGCAACGAAAGCGTGATATGTTAGATTCCGAGCGACAAACCAAATAAAGTATGATTCGACTGATAAATTTGATATAAGGGGCTTAATTGGACTTGTTGATTGATCTTTGTTCTACAAATTTTATCTTCAAATTGTAAACTGCTAACTTTAATTATGATCTTTTTTTGCTAAAAGATTACGATCTTTTGTTCAACAAATATTATCTACAAATATACTTTTTTTTTGCTTAATATTTGCTACAAATATACTTGTTGGTTGATTCTCTTGTACTAACCAGCAATACAAGTTTTTCTTGGTCAGATGGGTTTACATTCTTTTTCGAGAGAGAAAGTATGACTATATTCTATGTTCAGAAAAAGTATTCTAAGTTCAAGACCCCATATCTTTTACATGTCCAAAAATACCATGCATCTTGAAATTTGAAACTTCTCAGTTATTATGAACTGAGATGTCAATTAATAGTTACCCCTTTTTATCCTACATTTACCTAAATTATATGTTCTGAACGTTTTAAGATAGAAATCTTCTTATCTGAAGTACCACATGTTGATTAGAATTGAGATGTATATATAGGAATGATACATGATACTATACCATATATATATATATATATATATATATAATTGGCGCTTTGGTATAAGAAAATAAGCAAATCAAATAATGATAAGGGTATATTCAAAAAAATAAAAATAAAAGTTAATAATAATAATAATAAGGGTATTGATTGATGGTGTCCCATAATCATCAAAGTTAGTTTAGCCCTCTTATCATTTTCCATATATTTTAATTGAATGATGTCATGTCAAGTAGGGTTATTATTTATTAACAACTATTTTTAAAGGAGATATAGGAAATTTAGTTTCAAGAGCTTTTTAATGTTATCTCAGCCTCAAAATATATATATTTGAATTATTCTCCAAACAAGCTATTTCCTTATCACCTTAAATTATGTGTTTAGCTGTTTATGTCGGAATATATTAGAACTTATTTTTGTTCAGAAAAAAAAAATATTAGAACTGAATTTTTTTCTGAACTGAAAAAAATACACTTCCAAGGACTCGAACTTTGTGTTTTGGTGTGTTAACAGAAAGGCAATATATAGACCAAATGAGCTACGATGTCTTTAACTTATTTTGTTCCATGTTTGTTGACATATAACTATTGAAGTAACCACGAACACAAGGATCGAGTTATCTTATGACACTGTCTGGTGAGTTATAACTTTGAGAAGTAGTTTTAATAAGAAACAGCATTATACAGAAGTAACAGAACCTATTTGAATCGGCTGGATTATATGAACGTAGTTTTCTTAAAAACAAACAAAATTAGTGGCTATCTGTGAACGAGTCAACCTGCAATTTCTCACGTCGACGGCAATTAAGCTTAGTCATGCTTGGCGTGATGTCCCGGACTCAGTGATGCTAAGACGGTAAAATCTTTATTGAAAACTCAGTTTTAAATTGTCCATGTTACCACACTTTCAAATCAAATTGCTCTTACCTTTTAAAAGCACTTACTGTATTTTCAAGTTTTTTAGTACTTTGTAAAACTCATAGCTAACTCCACCGTACAGTTTCAACTTGTCAAGTAATATTAATCAGAAAAGGTGTATACAATATGTATCATGGTAAATAGCTTCCATTTATTTTCTAAGTTCGTAGATGACATTGTGAATGTCACAATACAGTTTTAGTATTAAAATTTTGTTACTATTTATATAAATTGATGATTTAAACACGTAAAAAGTACAAAACCTTAAGGGGAAAGTGATTGATTTGGGTAAGTTGGATGGACTCAGGAGGGGTGCGATTGGATAAGGTATTGGGCAAGTACCGATGTTCCCGACCACCACCACGTGGTCACACTGCCTGCCTTTCACTTTCATGCTCTAACCTTTTGACTGCACGTGACTTTTGTCTGTGCACGTGCGGATCAAGCTAACGTGTCCGGTTAAGTACATTGCACCGAGCCTTAAATCGGCAGGTTGCGCCGATGAACGGTTCATGGGTCCCGTACGTCATGAGGATGGACGGTTTCGATATGCTTTTACAGTGGTCCCACATGGTTCAGCCCACATGCGTCCACGTTGAGGAGCTTTAGGTGTTACTATATGGGTGCAGTGCAGTGCAGTTAAAAATAAGACAACAAGTCACGGTCCGATGAGGTCCAAGCATTAATGGGTCGGATCCAGATTAGTCACTTCAATAAATAGGCAACTATTTGGATGGGTTATAGTGATACAGTTGGTAATTGTTTTGGAGTTATCGAACGCGTTTTTTTGGTCCGACAAAATTTTGATTTTTACTGTAGTCTGTATGGAAGTGAAATATCAACGAATCCGGTTTATTTTCAGTCCAAAGATTATTGAAAGATGAATCTATGAAAAACTTATTGTTGAAAAAGCTAATCTTTTTGCAATATAGTCGGGAACTTAATACTAGTAAAAGAGTATATTTTGCTGTAAATTTCGTCTAAATTTGTAACCAGTTTTGGTAAAAGATGGAGACCAAACTATATGACAACCTATTTGCGGACGAAATTATTTATAACGGATTTGGATGTAACAACTTGGTTACCCATATAAGTACTTCAAATTATATGATAGAAATTGTAAGTTAGTGGTCTAGTGCTTTTTGCTGAATATTATCATACTATATGAAAAAACTACGCCATATTCGGGATAAGGTAAACTGGGCATCAATTATTTGTGGAAAAAAAAAACAGAAAAGTATCAACTAATTAATTTGACATTATGATAAGAGCCCCAATGATATGAATTGCAATTACGCATTGATGGACCATTAACTTTCTCTAAAATTATCATTAAAAAGGGTCCACTTCGTTTTATGATATTAAAGGTATATATATCCTCATTATATTATAAAGGATCATTATCAAGATTGAATGTTAAATAAAACCTCTATAAATTAATAATGTTGGGACTTTGAAATTTTATTAACTTATAGAAATATTAATTTACAAAAGTTTCTTTATTTCAAAATTTTTATTTATTTATTTTTTTAAAATAAGAAAAATATTTGATTTAAGTGTATAAACATTAGTTATTATTTAATTTGTTTGACATTTGTATCAATTTTATTATATTATTTTGTGTATATAATATATATTGTATATAATCTAAATCTGATTTTAAACATAATATTACAAAATTTCATCAAAATATAAGAAGTGTTAAAAAAATAAAGAAAATTCTATTGTGAATATAAAAACAATATAATGATATGTTTTTATTTATATAAAATAGGTATACATATAATTATTAATTTATAATTTTAATTGGATCATATATTTACATAGAAATTCTTAAAAATTATTATTTTATTATTTTATCAATTTTTTTTAATTTTTGAACCAAACTAAATTATAACCAATAAAATTTATTAATATATAAAAATTATTAATTTATTGAATATTAATTTATAAAAATTCTACTATTCTTAGAGTAACATTATTGGGGACTTCTACACTTGAATTTCTAAAAATATATAAATATATATGTATATATTATATAGGTGTATGTAATTATGAGTTTCTTGCTTTACGGGAAACTCAATCAAAAGTTTCTTATTTAAGGGTAGAAACTCCCAATAATATTTCTCTTAGATATGCGGCTTAGAGCACCCCATCAATGAACCGATGGGGGGAGGTTCATAAAAAAACAAAATTAATTTTTCTTTTTTTTTTATTCGTTTGTTTTTTTTTTAAAAAGAATATGGACTAATCGCGAGCCGCCACGTGGCATAGGACCCGCGGAACAGTCGTGAACCAGGTTCACCTCAGTGATATCCAGCGAGCAAGGTTCACAACTTTTATTATATTTTATTTTTTTTGTTTCTTAGTTTTTGTGTGAAACCCCCCGTTGAACCTTCAATGGGGGTGCTCTTAGGCCCTCTCCCATGACAACAAAAGTGCATATTAATAAATATCAAATGTAACGAGTGGAAAACTTTAGTGAGACGAACATCGATTCTTTGATATTCAATTAGCTCGAGTTCAACAAGATTATTTACCAGTAACGCTCGCACATGCACACATGCAAATATATTTTAAGAACATGTCGAGTTTAAAAGAAATTATTAACTACTCAACAAAGCATGGTAATTAATTATTGTTATGCAACGCCTAAATGTACCTAGTTTTATATTTTACTAGTAATTAAATATTGTTCATATCTATATGTATAACAAGGCAACGTGGGTTCTTTTTCAGAATATTGTATTTGCTTACCAAATACTATATAAATTGTAGTATATTGTAATTGCTAACCAAATACTATATAAAAATTAATATAAAATTATTCATTTTCACAATAAAGAATTGGAGAAATATGTATAACACGTATGGCATTCATCAATCATGTTTGATATGTCAGTTTTATCGATAATATGAATGATATATCAGCACTAAACATATTCAGTTTGCGTTAAAATATTAACCAAATGATCAGTTTTAGTGTTTTCACAAGTAAAAATTTGTTATGATCTTTCTCTTTTCCTCTCAAAACACTCGCATTATTACATACATACATGTTAAAACTGCTAGTAAAATAAAATTACTAGTAACATGATAATATTGTAGATTCTTTTTTGTTTTTTTTTTGAACGAATTTTAATGTCAATATTGTAGATACAAATTTAAATTAGTTTAAACCTAAATTTCCACGCGCCCTAAAGTGGGTGTGAGATTCGTTTATCATCTGCTTACCCAACTTCCACTTGACATTTTGTGTTGAAAATTAAAAGAATGATGCGTGTTCTATATTTCGTCTATAGTTTGCAAATTCCAATAAACCAATCGTCCTTGTACTTCTTTTTTTTTCTCTATTGTTCATCCTCTTTCAAGCTTCCAGATTATAAAACTTCTTCTTAATGTTACTTTCTTTTATTTTATCAGATTGGAGCCAAAGAAAAACCTCAACGAAGCCCTAGTTTTGTTTTGTGATCTCATGCAAGGATAACCCACTTTACTCACAAATTTTGTCGGCTTGTGGACGTAATATATTGAACTATTTTATATTAATATTAATATTTATAAAATATAATAAAGGGGACTGTTTTCTCCGCTAAATTCTCGGTTTGCTTTTACTTTCCTCGTTCAGTGAGAGGACCAAATATTGATTGCAGAGAGTCGCACATGAACCTCAAACTTCTCTCTCCTTTTTTTTTCAGAGTAAATCAGAATCGTTAAAACACGACACCGTCTCAACAGACTTGAAGTTGCTAGCTTCTTCCTCTTGCCCTAACTAAGCTACCCAATTAGGGTTTTTCTAAGAGAGATATCATTTCACATAAGTTACCGCTTTTATTTTCTTGTTCTTTAACTTAGTTCTGTTCTTGGTCTGTTTTAGTTTTTTGTCGGCTTGTGTAACTGATCACCTTTTCTTTAGGTGTTGGCTCCTCAAAATCATGAGTTTTGACTTCTCGATCTGAGTTCTTTAATTTTTTTCTCATCATCTTTCAATATATCAGCGACAAGGATCAAGAATCAAGAAATAGATTTTGAGCTGGCGAATAAACTGTGGTGGGATAGGGAGTTAGTAGATGCGGCGGCGATGGAAGGCGGCTACGAGCAAGGCGGTGGAGCTTCTAGGTACTTTCATAATCTCTTCAGACCAGAGATTCACCACCAACAGCTTCAAACGCAAGGCGGGATCAATCTTATTGACCAGCATCATCACCATCATCAGCAACAACAACAACAACACCAGCAGCAGCAACAGTCTGATGATTCAAAAGAATCTGATCACTCAAACAAGAACCATCATCAAGAGGGTCGACCCGATTCAGACCCGGCTACATCAAGCTCAGCACCTGGAAAACGTCCACGTGGACGTCCACCGGGATCTAAGAACAAAGCTAAGCCACCGATCATAGTGACGCGAGATAGCCCCAATGCGCTTAGATCTCACGTTCTTGAAGTATCTCCTGGAGCTGACATAGTTGAGAGTGTGTCCACTTACGCTAGGCGGAGAGGGAGAGGGGTCTCAGTTTTAGGAGGAAACGGCACCGTTTCTAACGTCACTCTTCGTCAGCCAGTCACTCCCGGAAATAGCGGTGGTGGTGGTGGAGGTGGAGGAGGAGTTGTGACTTTACATGGAAGGTTTGAGATTCTTTCCCTAACGGGAACCGTTTTGCCACCACCTGCACCGCCAGGTGCTGGTGGTTTGTCAATATTTCTAGCAGGAGGACAAGGTCAGGTGATTGGGGGATGCGTTGTGGCTCCGCTTGTTGCATCAGCTCCGGTTATACTAATGGCTGCTTCCTTCTCAAATGCGGTTTTCGAGAGATTGCCTATTGAAGAGGAGGAAGAAGGAGGTGGCGGCGGTGGAGGAGGAGGAGGAGGAGGAGAGGGACCACCGCAGATGCAGCAAGCTCCATCAGCATCTCCGCGGTCGGGAGTGACCGGCCAGGGACAGTTAGGAGGTAATGTGGGTGGTTATGGGTTTTCTAGTGATCCTCATTTGCTAGGATGGGGAGCTGGTACGCCTTCAAGACCACCTTTTAATTAATTAAGTTATTGTCAGTGGAAATTATGTGTGTTTAAATCATTTTGTGAAGTCATCTTTCATTTCGGATCTTTGTTTTTTTTTGGTTTTTAATAGCTGATATGCATATTTGAGTTCTCGGTGTTTTTTTTTTTCGTTCTTCTCATCTTTGGTAAGATGTTTAGACGTTAGAGGAATGCATATTTGTCTCTCGTGTTATTTACTTGCTAGAAAAACTTGCCATATATGCCTTTATTTGCTTCATTGCTAGGGCTTCGTGCTATACCATATACCTATTAATTTGCTCGATTGGATTAGATATATAGGTCTATTTAATAACAAGTACGATTCTTGTAAGAAAATTTTGAGGTTTACGACATATTCTTGTTGACATATAGGTATAATTGTTTACGACATATACTTGATGACATATTGTTTCCCTATAATTATAGTGCAATTTATAGTTTTTTATGTTTATATCAACGCATAGCCCAACAATTTTTCCATTAATCATTTGCAGTACAATGCACGTTCGCTACTTCGCTTCAACATTTTTAAAAACTTCAACGTAGTCTATCGATAAGGATAAGTATTATTAGCTTACATACAGTATATAGATGGTAGATCTAAACGTTTATCGCTAGACACTCGTTTCCTAAACGCTTGCATATCTTTTAGCTCTTATTTCATTTTGTAATTTCAGCACTTGACTGTTTAGAGCATCTTATAGTTCTCTTGTACAGTTTAAGGTCTCAACTGGTTGTCTATAATTTGGTTATTTGAGCATTTAAGAAACTAATATGTCCAAGCGATCTCTCACCTTAGTCTTACCATCTAAGAGAAAACACTTCAGATATACATGGAGTGACCATACTACTCAGATGCATAATGTATATACATTAAGGCTCCATTGAGAATCCTTTCTAAGAGAGTTGTAAATCCAACACCATGATATATCGCCAGGTTGAACAAATGGTAGGTCACGTATATTTATGCGGTTCATGTGACAATGATATCATAGTTTTATGTGTGAGATCATAAACCCCATGTGTCTCAACCAAGAATTCAAATATATTATGGTTTGTATCGGTCTATATATATATCAATACTTTCGATCTACAAAAATGAGATTTTTCGATCATATATATATGGGATAAAGAAACACCATAAAACAATGATGTTGGTTACAAGATCATGAAGAATGTTGGTATGAATTAGAGGCGAGGACCAAGGTAGTGGTTAAAGACAACCGTTACAGCTAGCACAGTAGAAACATGAAGTGAATGGGTATTTCACGTCGGTTACATATGAATTAGTGAATGGCCTTTAACATGGGAAGGTTAACCAGGAACATGAATCACTTGTAGTGTCAGTTAATTAAGAGTCTCTGCTGCAAGAGAACAAAAAGGGTTTTGATTACCAAGATATATGTGAAAAAGAGGAATGTTTCAATTCCCTAGGGTCAAATTTATTGACTAGGAACAAAGTTCATTGGCATCAATATACTAAAACATACTAGTATTAAAACTATAGATAAACCTGTACCTCCAAAATAGAACTGGGTTTGCAAATGAACTTAAAAAGATTATACGAATATATGTAGAATATATATGCTTGCTATAACGTTTGTAAGATGTTCAACCAAAATACCCTCGACGTTGATATTTCAACTGCTAAGTTTATTTACCCGAAACGCTTTTGTTATTAATCCCAGAATAGAGGATTTGATGTTAAAATCCCAGAATATTGTACTCCCTCCGTTCCACAATATAAGATGTTGTATCCAAAGCACAAGAATTAAGAAACTTAACTTTTTAAAGATAACATCATTGATAGTATAAATTTAAAACAAATTAACCAATCATAAATAATAAACTAAAATACTATTGATTAACCGGTTTTCTATAAAGTTAAAGTACCTTAAAAATATCAAAACATCTTATATTTTGAAACATCAATTTTCTCTAGAACATCTTATATTATGAAACGGAGGGAGTATTCTTTATAAATAATTAAATACTACTAGATAGTGATAATATATACATATACATCACGATTGTTTTTTTTGCCAAAACAGAATATCAATTATATACATTGTTATTATATGGCTGGCTTTCTGGGGGTTCGGAATATGTTAAAGGAAAAAGCGTTGTTGCTATGTTATTTTTGAAGAAAAGGCTTGCTATTGTTGCTATGTTTGTATATAGACTCACATGTGTTCATGTTGTCATTTGCCTTACATACAGTCGAGCTACACCAAGTTGAGAATAAACTGGTTTTTATTTATAATTTTATGCTGGAACGTCCTGCTTGATAAAAGACACACACACGTACCCATATAATATATAGTAATTCGTATTTGTATGTATCTATCTCCTTGTTATAATAAGTTATCTTCTAATCTAAGTCAATAAACTAGTTAAGCTGATTTGTCTGTAAATTTTAACATTTGTTTAGACCAAACTAATGTTTCCTGTTCTTTAAAAAGTGGAAAGGCATTCTAACAGCAACAACATCAATGAACTCTTGTGAAACCCCCGTTTTCCATAATCATTATTTATTTTTTTGGTTAAGCTTTTTTTTAAAAAAAAAAAATAATCGGACCAATCAGTAACTGACACGTGGTGAACCGGATTTATGAGAATTCATGGCAATGAACTTTTGAAAGAAAAATTCATAGAAATCTGATTTTAATATTAATTTTTTTTTTCTAAGTTTGCGTGTAAACTCTTCCATCGCTTCTTGATGGGGATGCTCTAATATCACATCAAACACCCTACCGTATCTCTGATATCTAACATTAGCCTGAACTTTCAGGATTTTGAAACTTAAATTACGTCAGTAACAAATCGTAACCCTTTATATTATTTTTTAATGTATGCCCCAAAAGTATCAATGAACTTTTCAGAGTCATGAAAATGTCAAAAATGGTACTATTATTTTCCCTTTAACAGTACTCACAAATAAAAATTCAAACTTCTTCTCACCTTTTGAAAATAATTCATCTCAAGACTACTTTGAAAACCTAAAAAGCACAAGTACCTATAGTTAAAATGGGCTCGGAGCCCGCGGGCCTAACGGGCTTAGTATAAACGGGCGGATCCATTACCCGTTTATGATGATGCAAAAAAATAAACGAGTTTATACGGGGTCGCCCGTTTAGGCCCGTCTCGTTAATGGGCGTACCTATTAAATAAACGGGCACCTATTTAGGTCCGTTTAAGATATTTTTTTAAAAAAAAAAATTATTTTAAACGAATTTAATTTTTTTTTTTATTTTTTTTTAAAAAAAATTTTAAATTTTTTTTAAACTTTTTTTTAATATATTTGTGTTCTTGAAACAAAATTGTTATATTATATATAATTTCTTTTTTTTTTTCCAGAAAATGATTTAGGTTATAATTGTGTTTAAAACCTACTAAAATTTGTTGATATTTGTATAATAATAATATTATAAACTAATTAATATTTATCAAAAGTAAAATAGATTTTTTTTCTTCAAATTTTGCTTTAATTTGAATTTCTATTTATTATAAAGTTATAAAATCAAATAAAAATTATTAAAATTATATTAAGATATAACAAAAGATTATTGACAAAAAAATAGAATTCACAAAAAACTTAAACGGGCCTAAACGGGCACAATCAACATTAACGGGCTTAGATCTAAACGGGTTTAATATTAAATGGGTCTAAACGGACTTGACATTAAACGGGTCTAAACGGGTAGGGCCTAAACGGGCAGGGTCTAAACGGGCCCGGGTAGCCTGTATTAACATCCCTGAGTAGATGGGATATATACACATTCATATCTAAAAACCCCCATAAATAAGAAAAGCTGGAGCAAACACATATATCATTGTTGCTTGCATCCTAAAAGGCTTAATAAAAATAAGAACTGGAGCAGCTTCTCCAACTTATCACAAATTCTACAAAAGATATATCTTACAACAAAGATACAATATTTTTTTGTCCGATCTTATAACTAAAAAGATACAGTTAAAAAACTGCTTCAGCTGCCCTAAGCCATTTTGTTCCAATACCAATGAATTCCTAAGAGAGACTAAGAACAAACATGAAACAGCGAGCTCAACAACCCTTAGGATCAGTCAACTTTTCATATTGAGCTCGTATGAACAACCGACCATGCATGCTCATGATTGCATTTGTATGATGCGGATCGATTCTAGCTGGTAAGACAACAATCTGGTGTAATCATATAAAAAATCACAACGATTCTCAGTTAGATAACAGTAGGTCTCTGTATCGGTTTAACTGCAATATCTGAAGTATATCAGAAAGTTTATTTACCTTTTTGAATGGTGTAATGCCCCAAGGATTGTCAAGCTGCTCAGGCTCGCCTGTTATAATCAGCCTTCCTGCAGGATCTGATTGAATTCGAATCTGAAAACCAAAAAAAAACTATGTTCAGGACTTTGAACTCTGTTATGACTTCGCCAGAAAATATGTATCACCTACAAAACTCTACGCTACTTTAGATCTATATCGTAGAAAAAATCGTCAATGTAACTGCTTTTGGTTGCTAACAGATCTCTCTGTGCTTGCTGTGTATTGCCACAGTAATATGCTTTCATACAAAACGAGAAAAATAAGGTTTCAAACTTTCAAGGGATCAATGCTCACCTCATTGCGAAGAAGTCCAGGTACCAATGCAAAAACCTCAAAGGATTCCTTCTGTGAATTCAAAAGAGAAAAGACAGATCTGGTAAGCTTTCAGATTAGGAAACAAACAATCGAATTTACACTTTACTGGCGTTTCTTCAAACAAAGTCTGGCCTTTTGATCAGACTTTTCTCATGCAAGAATTACAAAAAGGGAAAGTGGCAGAAGTTACTCACAGTTTCTTTGACAGTTATCTTCACCCAGTCAGCAAGAGGTCCATCATCAATAACGTCAGCAACCGACCTAAGGCAACAAAATTACATTATTATTAATTAATATCTTGGACTGATTACGGACAAGAGAGAGAAAGGAAAACAAAAGTAACATGTTCAGGTCAAGAAATGCTTTGTTTCATCCTATCACTGCTTAGAGGAATTAAAAGAAACAAACAAATGTAACATGTAAAGGAGAGGATTAGCTTTCCGTAACTGTTTTTCTGCTTCTTGTGAAACTATAAGGTCCATGCAAGTTGGTTTCGGCAGACCTGAAAAACAAACCGTTTACACAATATTAAGGAACCGAAGTTGACCAAGAATAGCAACGCCTTGCGAAATAATTTACCAATGTTCTTGAGCTTCTTGTGCTTTGGGGTTGAGTTTAAGCCCATATCCTGAAAAAAAGGAGAACGTAGTTATGGTGTAGGTGAAATCACAAAGTGCGGTAAGATTTGAGGTGAAAGGTTAACAATATGCTCAGTCACCTCTCCAGAATCATCAAGGCGATGTGCCTGCCAACCTTGCATAGCACGAGCTGCAGAATCTCTCCGTGCCCTGCCTGATCCCGAACCTTGGCTCATGACCTACATCAAAGTCCTTATATCAGGGAAGAGAAAACAAGTGGGGAAGGCTTAACAGGTTTAGGTTGCATTGCACATTCAAGAAAGTCCTCTCTGTATTAAATGAATGATGAAATAGAACTTTTAAGCATTCCCTCAGCTTAAACAACAGTTTATCCGTACATAACATGACCTCCCTTCCCACAATAGATTAACAAGTAGATACTTTTCTTTTACTTTCACGGTGCTAGATCTAGCTGATATCTTCATCCAAACTTTCCATATCTATCTATCTTTTCCATGAATTCGATAGTGCCGAAAAGCCAAAAGCATTAAAGCCCCCATTTTTGGAAGAATTTCTTACCTCTTTCTCGAGGCTTGGAGACAGATTGACTGTTGGACCAGGCAGGTTAAGTTCACCACTTTTCCTCTTGTACTTCTCGTACTCCAAAAGTGCCTGCAATTGAAGCAAAATTTAAATCATTATGTATCAATATTAATATGATAAGAAGGCAAAAATATCAGTGCATTCAAAGTGCCAAACGAACTAGTCAAAATTAAATATCCATACGACTTACCTAGGCCCGACACTGATAAGTATTATAACACACCATACAAAAGAAGCACAAGGAGAACTGTCTGAAGTGGATAAGTAGAAATGAAGACAAGATAAACTATGACTTATTCAGAACAACGAAACCCACCTTCTCATAGAAATTGCGGAATGTGTAGGAGATTGTTGTGCATGTCCTGAAGAAAGAAAGTTAAATCAAATATGTAACAAGTTACCATCATGAAAAATCAGCAAAGACTAACGGAGAGACAAGGGGAAACATTAAACCATACTTTGGAGGATCGAAGGATTCTCCAACTTGCCGCCACAACTTCAATGTGGTGACCTAAATTACATGAAAAAAGGGAATCTTGAAGACCAGTACACATTCCATTCCAGTAAAAGATTAAAAAACTTTGAATATAATCTACCAGATATAGCTAACAACAGTAAACAAATATGACAACAAATCAAATACTCTTCAATATATCTCCTCTCTGAAAGTTAAAGAGACTTTTATGATGAATAAGCTTAACGATTTAGTGTTTAGAAGTTAGCTGATGGTCATAAATGACCTAGAGATTCAACTAACTATATGATGAATTTAAAGACTAAAGTAATAGAAGTGGATAATTACCACTTCATGACCACCTAGTTTAGTGACTGCTCGCCATAGCCTACATTGCATAGTGAAAGATCAGGTACTGATTAACCAGATATATATATAGGGTTTATATAAGAACAAAAGCAACACTATCTTCTTCTTTTTTTCCAAAAAGACTAACTTGAGAGTGTTCAAAGGCTTCTGATAAAACTTAAGAGGCTTGTAGTCGAGGTAATTCTCTCTGTGAAAAGTATCCAATTCTCTTAGAAACGCCTGTTGTTCTTCTGGCGTCCCTGCTTCATCATCTCCCTAAAAAAAGAAGTGAACTTGTTAAGAGAAAGACCACCATAAAACCACAAGGATCATCTCCTTCCTACAAATGGTCAATTACCTGGGAATCAGTGAGCAACCAAGTCTTGCGCTTTTTGGGATTACCATCATCACTAGGCTGGGGACTCAAAAAACTCACTTTACTCTTCTTACGAGAGTAAAGAAGCTCACCAGTGTTCCCATGGCCATCGTTATCCTCGAGAGGAAGAGGCTCACTCATGTTTTGATCCTTGTCTGGCTCAGAAGGTTCACCCTTGAGGACATCATCAACCTTCCCATGACCATCAACATCAAGGAGCTCACTTGGTGGCGGGTCAAGGGGTTCAGGTTCAGCCTTGAGGACATCATCAGCCTCCTCACAAGGCACATCTTGCAATTGCATTTCCTTATCCGCCATACCACCAACAACAACAAAAAAGCAGCTTCCTTTCTGCCACAGCAAGATAATAACATGATAAGATAAACAAAAGGAGAAATCACAAGAAACAAACAAGAGAGGCTCAAAGACTAATCACAAACCCTAACACAGTAAACCAAAGCCTATAAAACCGAAAACAAAGAGAAAGAAGAAGAAGGAGAAGATATGGTTGCCTGTTTCTGCGCCGCCCGGGGGAGGAAGGGTGAGAGTTGCGGTGGAGAGCTAGGGTTTTGATGAGGCGGAGATATTGAAAGGGAGAGAGTGTTTGAAGTCTCTCTTCCTCCTTTCTTTCTTTCGTCAAGAGCGGAAGATATATAGAGAGAGAGAGAATGAGTTGGATGTGGTTCTCTCTTTTATGTTTGAAACGCTGATGAGCGACGGAGTTTTTTTTAACACCTTCACAAAAAGTACCCCAACTTTGTTTTCTATTTACACTACAAGTATTTATTTTTCAAACAATTTTACAGTATTTTGAATTTGTATGTTTAATGGAAATTTTGGGAGAGAAAAAAAAGTTTTGTTTTTAATTGGAACCTTTTGTTATTGTAATTTTGTTGCATGGGACAACATTTTAAAATAAACATTAGGTCAGATTAAGTACATTGAAATTTAAAACTTTTAATACAGAATAAATATCCGCCGTATTAATATAGACAAAACTTTAAATATGGTGTAACAGAAATTAAAAGTTTTAGTTGCTATTTATATAGTTATAAACAATTAAATTAATAGATATAATTGTAAGATGACAAAATATATAATTGTAATAAAAAATGCCAAATACTTAGTAATTAAAATAATACAACAATTGTTGTACATATTAAATAAATTTTAAATATATAAAAACAAGGAATCATTAATCAAACAGATGATATATAGAATTATATTTTATGATAAATTATGTTTTTCTGAGTGTGTTATACTCAATGTTTGTGTATATATTATTGATTTTTTGATAAAAATAATAATTGAATTGTTCAGTCATGATCTACATTTATCTATAATAAACACATTTGTAAATTTGAATACATTATGATACTTCTTACAAAATTTACTAGAATATATGTTTTTATGATTTTAATTATAGAATTGTGTGTATAATCATTTCTATAAATTTCATAAAATATTTAAAAAATTAGAATTATTTATTAATCTGGATGACACTAGCAAATATTTATAATTTTTATTTCAAAAATACTAAAAACAAATACATTATATATTACCGAGCATGGTTCATGTACTTAGAAAACAAATATTGTTAAAGATTTTATTCCATAAAGAGATGTAGAAATAAATTATATATAAGGAGAGTATCTTTCAAAATTTGGGAAAAATGTTTTTACATCCAACAATGTAAAGAATACAAAGCATTAGTGACAAAAGTAGCTATTGACCCCATATAGTTTGCAAATATTACCAACTGTAGTTCATATACTTTTTTTATCAACATATTTCATATACTTAGGAGTATATCATAATAAATATTTGTCTTCTACATACTGAAGATTTCATTCTTCAGAAATAAAATCAGATATATAAGGGAAATATCTCCCCAAAAAAAAGAAGATTTTATTAATGGGCCATCTCGCTAATTAGTAAGCTAGTTGAGCCTTACGGCCCAAACAGACAAATAAGAAAATCGTCTTGTGAAATATGGGCTCAAATGGGAAGCGAAATCAGGTCGGCTCTTTTTTTTTTTGTTGCGAAAATAGATTTAAGTCTTCTTCCTTTGTACAATAAACGAGACTATTAGTGAGAAGGCTCTGCAAAAACGTTGAGACGTTAGGGTTCCGACGCTCCGGTCTATCTCGATTCTTCTAGTAGCTTCGTCTTCGCTTTCTCCTCCTATTATCTCTGTAAGTTTCGATCGTTATTTTACATACCCCTTCGATTAATCTGAGATCCTTTACTCAATACATTGATTCTGAATCGTGCAGTTCGCGGAATCTAGGGGCGAATTTGATTGATTCTTCATCGAATCCGTGAAATTGAGCTCTTGTGAATTCGGATTTGTGGTGTTTGAACTGAGATAGATATGGAGGTTGTTAAATCTAAGTATAGGGATGAAGATTTGGAGGTGGAAGAGGAGGAGGATGATTTGAAGAGCAGTCGGAGGGACCGTGATCGGAGTAAGGAGAGGAGGAAGGAGAGGGGTTCTGATAAGCGACGGGAGAAGGATAGGCGGAGGAGGCGGTCTGAGAGAGTTAGTGATGATTCTGAAGATGAGCACGATGATGATGATGATGATGAAGAGAGGGAGAAGCGTAAAGAAAAGGAGCGGAGGCGGAGGGATAAGGAGAGGGGGAAGAGACGGTCTGAGAGAAGGAAGAGTAGTGATGAAGAAGATGACGATGAAGAAGATGATGAGAGAGATAAGCGCCGAGTGAAGGAGAAGGAGAGAGGACATAGAGAGCATAGGGAAAAAGATCGGAAAAGGGATAGGGATAGAGAGAGGGAAGAGAGAAAGGAGAAAGAAAGAGAAAGGGAGAAGGATAGGGTTAGGAGAGAACGGGAACGAGAGGAGCGTGAGAAGGAGAGATTGAAAGAGAGAGAGAGGCGGGAGAGGGAAAGGGAAGATGGAGAGAGGGATAGGAGAGAACGTGAGAAAGAGAGGGGTAGGAGGAACCGGGAAAGGGGGAGGTCACGGGAGGATGGAAATGAAGAGAGTGATGATGATGTCAAGCGTGAACTGAAACGTAGAAGAAGAGAGAGTGGAGAACGCAAGGAGAAGGAGCGTGAGAAGAGTGTTGGTAGATCTAGCAGGCATGGAGGAGATGACAATGGAGATAGTCCTAGGAAAAAGAGTGTGGAGGAGGATGGTGAAAAGAAAGAGAAGAAAACGAGGGAAGAAGAACTAGAGGAAGAGCAGAAGAAGTTGGATGAGGAGGCGGAAAAACGGAGAAGAAGAGTTCAGGAGTGGCAAGAGTTGAAGAGGAAAAAAGAAGAAGCTGAAAGTGAGAGTAAGGGTGATGCGGATGATAAAGAGCCTAAGACCGGCAAGGCCTGGACTCTTGATGGGGAATCTGATGATGAAGAAGGACATCCGGAAGAAAAACCAGAAACAGAGATGGATGTCGATGGAGAAACTAAACCCGAAAATGGTGCAGATGACATGATGGTAGACACGGAGAAGGAGATAGCTACTACTGTCTCTGAAGTAGGAGGTGATGGAGTTGCAGATGAAGAGGAAATTGATCCTTTAGATGCTTTTATGAATTCGATGGTATTACCTGAGGTTGAGAAGCTTAGCAGCAGTACACCTCCAGCAGTTGAAGATGGTATTTTGGTAACTAAGAATAATGGGAAGAAAAGTGATCACCAACAAAAGAAAGGTTTTAACAAATCCCTTGGTAGGATAATGCAAGGTGAAGATTCTGACTCTGATTATTCAGAACCGAAGAATGAGGATGATCCAAGTTTAGACGAAGATGATGAGGAGTTCATGAAGAGAGTAAAGAAGACAAAAGCAGAAAAATTGGCTCTTGTTGATCACTCAAAAATAGAGTATGAGCCTTTCCGGAAGAACTTCTATATTGAAGTGAAGGAGATCTCAAGGATGACACAAGAAGAAGTTAACGCTTACAGAAAGGAATTTGAGCTGAAAGTCCATGGAAAGGATGCACCAAGACCCATAAAATATTGGCACCAGACTGGACTAACCAGCAAAATTTTGGATACCATGAACAAGCTTAAGTTTGAAAAGCCAATGCCTATCCAAACGCAAGCACTTCCAATCATCATGAGCGGTCGAGATTGCATTGGAGTTGCAAAAACCGGATCAGGTAAAACGCTAGGTTTTGTTTTGCCTATGTTGAGGCATATCAAGGATCAGCCTCCCGTTGAAGCTGGTGAGGGGCCAATTGGGCTTGTAATGGCTCCCACTAGGGAGCTTGTTCAGCAGATTCACAGCGATATCAAAAAGTTTTCAAAGCCATTGGGTATAAGATGTGTTGCTGTGTATGGAGGATCAGGAGTTGCGCAGCAAATTAGTGACCTAAAGCGAGGGACAGAGATTGTTGTGTGCACTCCTGGGAGGATGATTGATATTCTTTGCACAAGCAGTGGGAAAATCACCAATCTGCGGAGAGTCACATTTTTGGTAATGGATGAAGCTGATCGTATGTTTGACATGGGTTTTGAGCCTCAAATTACTCGTATTATTCAAAATATTCGACCTGATCGGCAGACTGTGCTCTTTTCTGCTACTTTTCCACGTCAAGTTGAAAATTTGGCACGTAAAGTCTTGAACAACCCTATTGAAATACAGGTTGGTGGAAGGAGTGTTGTGAATAAGGATATAAAACAGTTAGTTGAAGTCAGACCGGAGAGTGAGAGGTTCTTACGACTGCTGGAACTTCTTGGAGAATGGTATGAGAAAGGAAAGATTTTGGTTTTTGTGCAGTCGCAGGAAAAATGTGATGCCTTGTTGAAGGATTTGTTTAAAAGGAGTTACCCTTGTCTATCTCTACACGGTGGTAAAGAGCAGTCTGATCGTGAATCAACTATATCTGATTTTAAGAGCAATGTGTGCAATATTTTGATTGCCACGAGTGTTGCAGCTAGGGGTCTAGATGTGAAAGAGCTTGAGTTGGTTGTAAACTATGATGCTCCGAACCACTATGAAGATTATGTGCATCGCGTTGGCAGAACAGGAAGGGCAGGGCGGAAAGGCTGTGCTGTGACATTTATCTCTGAGGATGACGCAAAATATGCACCGGATTTAGTCAAGGCCCTGGAACTTTCTGAGCAGCCAATCCCCGATGATCTGAAAGCAATCGCTGATGGTTTCATGGCAAAGGTGAGACAGGGTACAGAGCAAGCTCATGGAACTGGGTATGGAGGTACTGGCTATAAATTCAACGAAGAGGAGGAAGAAGTAAGGAAAGCAGCAAAGAAAGCACAAGCCAAGGAGTATGGGTTTGAGGAAGACAAGTCGGACTCAGAAGATGAGAACGATGTAGTAAGAAAGGCAGGTGCTGTTGGTAGTGATACCTCACAACACCAGGCTGCTCTTGCTCAAATAGCCGCCATTGCTGCTGCTGCTAAAGCCAATGCTGCTGCAATGAATGCTCCTGTGACTCCAAACCAGTTGCTGCAAAATGGTGGCGGGCTTACTTCTCTGCCAGGTGCCCTTCCGGTTACTATCCCTGTCCTTTCTAATGAGGGGCCAGGCCGTGCTGCAGCCATGGTTGCTGCCATTAACCTGCAACATAACCTGGCGAAGATTCAAGCTGATGCAATGCCGGAACACTATGAAGCAGAGCTGGAAATCAATGACTTCCCACAAAATGCTCGTTGGAAGGTAACCCACAAAGAAACTTTGGGTCCAATATCGGACTGGACTGGAGCCGCCATTACCACTAGAGGTCAGTATTATCCGCCTGGTCGTATCCCTGGACCTGGGGAACGCAAGCTCTACTTGTTCATTGAAGGACCTACCGAAAAATCTGTGAAGACGGCAAAAGTTGAACTCAAGCGTGTTCTTGAAGACATTACAAATCAGGCTATGTCACTTCCTGGAGGATCACAGGCTGGAAAATACTCGGTCATATAATGTAAGTCGAGAATTCTAATCCACTCTACAACCATTGATGGTAAATTTTAAGTTGTTTAACTATAGCCTTGCACGCAGACTATTTTCTTTCTTACATTAGCTCTTTCTTTCAATCTCAAAGTTCAAACTTATGGATCTTAGTTTCTTTCTTTTAACAGGAAAGCAGCCATGAGAGGGTCTGTTAAATGATTCAAAGCACACAGTTTATTTTGTTTAACTATTATTATTTGATTACTGTTGTGGAATACAGTCTCTGCGAATCTTTTCTTATAATAGACTTGCACTTGGTGTGACAGTTCTAATAATGCTTGTTGTTGCTCATCCAGCTACTATATCTCTCTTTAAATTATACTGTCTCTGTTTGTTTGTTATTGTTTAAACAATGGCCTCGATGGATGGTGGTAATGGCTGTAAAAGGATGGGTAAAATCTAGCTTGATGCAGTTTTTGGTGTTTGGTTTGCTCTTTAGCTCTTGAATCGAATAGCAGCAGCACAAATTACTTTCTTGCATCTTCCCTTATACAGCTTTGGGCATCTTTTCCGCAGGGTAACAATTGTGAAACATGAAGCTCTCTGTGGGAGAAAAGGTGCTTTTGGCTCTGCAATAGGTAAGATGAGTTTGGAGAGTTAGTTCTGTTTTTTGTGTCGGTGAAGGGGATTGATTAGTCTGAGTTAATGGTAAGAGGTGGTGTTTGCAAAGTAGATCGGATCTGTGATCAACATAGTTGAAGTAAAAAACAAACTCTTTGTATGACTCATGTGATATAATGTGGCACATACGTTGTCCTAGGCGATCGAGAACCTTGGTCCACAAATATGGGTTGTTTGCCAAATTCAATTTTGCGACGGCTTTTGTAAAGAAGTTGCGTCCTACGAAACAACGACCTGCAAGTTAAATAACCATGCCAAATGGAGATATGAACCTAACTAAGCGATGTCCTTAAAAGACCACTATCTACTCGCTTCCTCTATGGAAGCCTGATAAAGAACTCTTCAAAACGAACGTACTATGGAGGAGATGCTACGCCTCTGAATGACAAGTACTTGGAGAACATGATAAAGAATTGCGGAAATTTTCGCTAAAAATAAATAAATTACGCTCGTAAAATTTTCATAATGTTAACATTGCAAGCAAACACTGAAGAGATTTTTAAAACTCTAAAACAATTACAAATGATTAAAGTATATAATTTATTTTTGGGGGCATGTTACTCTTGTTGCAAACTAGTAAAAGTAGAACCGTGATGCCATGCAAGGCAAAGAGTAAGCCAATTTAGGATTCAAGAGAGCGAGAGCCACTCCCACCAAGTTTCTCATCATCTTCTTGATTTTCTTACGTCTAGTACTCTGTTTCTTAGCTTGAGAAGCCGATCAATCTCTGTTCCTCTCGATCCTCCGTGTTTACGGTAAGTCATCACGTAACGATCTCTCAAGTTTTCTGGAAAACAAAAATAAGCCAAAGATGTTCGTCTCTGTTCTTGATTTTGTTTTATATTATTTGTAATGTGATTTATTATATATGAGTGACGCTGTCATGGTTGATAGATTTGGATTTGATCGTTACTTATTCACAGATATCAAGCGACGATGAAGCTTTTGGATCTGTTCATAACCTCGTCGATACCAGTAGGAAAGATTCTTCTGATAACAGGAATCGGATTTTACTTGGCTCTTGATCGTGTTAACATTCTGAACCAAGATGCTAGAAAACAGCTCAACAACGTCAGCTTCTTTTAATACTTTAATTCTTCTCTGAGGTCTCTCATATATATATGCATGTGTGATTCTTTACGTCCAGAGTTTTTTTTTTTACAGATAGTTTTCTATGTGTTTAGTCCTTCACTTGTTGCAAGCAGTCTAGCTGAGACTATTACTTATGAAAGCTTCGTTAAAATGTAAGTTACTCATTTCAAAACTCTGCTTGAAATGAAATGAATTTTTAAATCTTTTTTTTTGTTTAAGGTGGTTCATGCCACTCAACGTTCTGCTCACATTCATCATTGGCTCGTTTCTTGGTTGGATTGTCATCAAGATCACTAAACCTCCTCCACAGCTCCGTGGCATCATAGTTGGTTGCTGTGCTGCTGGTAAAAACCTTTATAATATCATCATCACCCTACACAAGTTTATATGAATCTAAAAATCAGTAATGAAATTGTAAATCTAATAGGGAATTTGGGAAACATGCCACTCATCATTATCCCAGCTATATGCAATGAAAAGGGAAGTCCTTTTGGAGATCCTGAGACTTGTGAGAAGTACGGACTAAGTTATGTTGCACTCTCTATGGCGGTATGTAACCATTTCTTAATCACTTATTCTTCTAAAGGTTGTGTAATTATAATGATAATTACAAGTCAAAAACGTTTGTGTGCTAATGTATATATATATTAGATTGGATCCATTTACATATGGACTTATGTATACAATCTTATGAGAGTGTTAGCAAGGGAAACACCTATAGTCATTGGTACCTCCTCTACAGTGCCACTGATTCCTACCAAAGTCATCCAAGCTGAGGAGCAGGTCTCAACCTTTTTGTCTTTTGATATTCTTGTAAGCATTTATTATGCTTTTTAACTAATGATTTTTGGGGAGATTGTGTATTTGACAGTTTGGAACTTGGAGCAAGATCAAGCAAAGAGTATGTTCTGCAGCAGAGAGTATCAATCTAGGAACAATCTTTGCTCCTTCAACTATTGCAGCGGTTTGTTTCAATGTTTCAATGCTACCTTTTGTACGTTCATATTATATATGCTTATAATCCACTTTTATTTGCAGCTTATTGCGCTTGGGATTGGGCTTATTCCTACACTAAGGAAGCTATTAATTGGCAACACGGCTCCACTCAGAGTGATTGAGGACTCAGTGTCTCTATTAGGGTATTCCATAACTTCAAACTATCACTTTTCTTAAGGATTTATCAAATGTTTAAGCTGAGTCATTTCTTGAAGGGAAGGGACGATTCCTCTTCTGACTCTGATTATAGGAGGAAACCTTCTCAAAGGTAAACAACAAAAGCTGCAAGGAATCACTTTCTTTTTTCGCAAGAAACATAATATATCTCTCTCTTTCAATGATCATAGGTCTGAGGGGACCAGGAATGCACAAGTCAGTCATAATGGGAGTGTTGGTTGTGCGTAATGTGGTGCTGCCAATATCAGGTGTTGTGATAGTGCAAGGAGCTCATCACTTGGGTTTGATTACATCAGAACCGCTCTACCAGTTTGTTCTTTTGCTTCAGTATGTTGTTCCACCCGCAATGAATCTTGGTTCGTTCGTTCGTTCTTTCTTCAGAGTCAGAAAATACTACTACAAGACCACACATCACACGTTTTTTTCTCATAGACTTTCACCTTTTCTCGCAGGTACAATGACGCAACTATTCGAGTCAGGAGAAAGTGAATGCTCAGTGATTCTCTTCTGGTCTTACGCTTTGGCTTCTGTTTCTCTCACCCTCTGGCCAACCTTCTTTATGTGGCTTGTTGCCTGAACATGTACACACACACACATACATACACATAGGAGCAACATTTGCAAATCCTTAATTCTTTGAAAAATTATAGCAATTGATATATATTCTTTCAATGGTTAAAGAAGTTGGAGGTTAAACAACTAGGAATAGAGAGACCCAATTAAAAAGGGAACTTTAACAGACTTTTATCATATCATAAGATAGCAAGATAATTGCTTGAGACAAGCAATAACAAAGTTGAAGCAAACTATACTAATGAGAGAGTTAATAAAGTGATCTTCAGAGAGAGGCCTTGTCAGGTAGATCATCAAAGTAAAGATGCTCCATAGCCTTCTTTGCTGAGATACGTTTAGCTGTCTCGTACAAAGCAAGCAGATTTTTATAAAGCCTTACCTGAAAATCTGGATAAGTTGTGAAATACACAACAACTCACAAAGGATACATAAGAACAAACATGTTAGTTAATAACCTAAAACAAATCAAACAAAATAAATTAAATTTACCGCCTAGATAAAATAAAATATAATTCAAAGAATCATAGTTTTATGCAATTTAATCAACCTTCAACAATTTTGAAGCTCAATATCCTAACATCCTATATAACTAAAAGATCACACATAAATAATTGATTTACAAATATTATATAACCAACTCTTTAAAACTAAAAACAAATGTTAATCCAAACACTTAACAAAGTCAAAATCTTTATATGTTTCTGATGAACATAAGAACAAATGGTAGATTGGAGAACTTGTAACTAATGTAAGTCGAAATACATGTAGTTAGTAGATACTATGAATCCATTTGACCAAAAAAGATATTATAAATCCCAAACTTGTTTTTTAATCTCTCTGTTTTCGAAACTCAACAAGAACAACAACAAAAGTTACATCGCAAAGGAATAAGAAAAAAGAACACAGAAATGTGGGATGTGTTGAAAGAGTTTATGCAAAGTTTTATGGAAGCTTTAATAAAGAGTCTTTGACTTTTTTTGCGTTTTAAGCAAACTGTTGACCAGCATTGGAAGATGAAGAAATGGTAGTGAGAACATCAGTCACTGAAGCCATCACGCTCAGTGCTGCCTTCAGAACGTCTTGTGAACATCCTGGCTTCACTATCGTCCTCACCTGAACCATCCCCCAATATGTCAATATACGAATCATTAAGAAGCGATAGTAAAAAAAACACACACAGAAGGTAAATAAAAGAAGTTTTACCTGGTCTAGATATTCCTGCAGCTGCTTGATACGTCCCATGTAGTCTTGATCTTCAACACACAGACTCATTGCTTTAGCATCTGCACCTGGACCATCGTACTGAAGAGGTCCTGGGTTTCTGTACAGATCTTCCATCAAGAATTTGTCTGCGTTCTGTCTCAACAGCCTGCCAACAAACCCATTTACATATTAAATTAACAACTGAGAAACACTTGAAGCAACAACGTTAGCAAGCTAGTGTCTTCATGTCTGCTTACTCGTATGCTTTGCCCTTCAGATCCACCATGGCCGGATGAATTGCAGGTCTACCAATTGAAGTTGAGGTAGAACTAGCATTTTGGGACCAATTCTTCACCGTCATCATTGCCTACAAAAGGTGTAAGATCAGTAAAGAAAGAAACTGTAATAACGCCATCTTTAGATACAAAAGAAGACAAAACTCAACTGTGATAGGTGCAGCACCACATTTCCACTTGTTTACAGGACTTTTTAGGTTGCTCACTGTTGCCATGTAACCATTCAGACCAGCTGCTAGGATGTGGTAACATATATGTCCAAGAACCTGACAGTTTTTTTTTCCATTCAACAGTGTGAATACTCATCCAAGTTTTTTTCATTTGCATTGATATTGTGGTCAGAGTGGCAGTGACTTACGTAGGCGTAATCACAATCGAATTTCGATGGGAGAGATCCACGAGCTTGGTAACCAAAGAAGTGACATATAGCATTGAACTTCTTCCCCTGGTATGTCCCTTCCTTCTGTGAAGTTTCAAAACTTTATTAATATCACATCCAAGAGTGTCTCCGATTACAGTATTGGGAATGAAATAGAAATCAGTGAAAAAAACAAGGAGCATACCAAGCGCTTGTTCATTTCAGTCTCCACCAGATACGCAAGAAGCTTCTCTGTCTCAATCTGGAGAAGAAAGTAAAACAAGCATTAAGGATACCAACTTTTTTTATAACATATTAGCTCCAACAAATTTTTTGTTTCATCTTCTTCTTCTTACCTGTGATAGCTGAGCAGAATCATCAGACTCTGGATGGAGAAGTAGCTGCAACAGCAAAAATGAGCATCTTGTAAGCATCCAGGTTTGGAGTAAAACAAAGAGAAGTCTCCATGTCCAAGAATTCGAACCTGTTTTTTAATGAATGGAGGAAGAAATTCAAACAAAGCAGATGACCAAGGTGAGAGCTGAGTAGATATCTTATCAGCAGCTACGCCCTCCCTAAGTAGCCCGTGAATTTCCTGCAAATCACAAAAAAAGTCAGCTTAGACATTAGATATAGTACTAAAACGAGCATATCAGTATTCGAGAAAGAAGACAAATAGCTATAAAAAAAAGTAAATCAAATCATTACCTTTAACAGAGCGTAGACTTCAGGAATACTCTCTATGATGCCTTCGGGAATGAGGATGACTCCATGATTCTTGTCTGATGCCAATAAATGGTATAACAATCAAGTTAGTGAAAGGTAAATACATGACCTCATAATCTTTCATATATATAGTTTTGTTAATGAGACCTTGTCCTGCTCTTGCTTGAACTGCATCACAGATCTGTTTAGAAATGTCAAAAATGGTGAGCTTGGATGCTGCAACCTCCTCTCCCAGTATAACCTGAGACAACACATCATACTCAAATGAGAGTCGAGAAACACAAACAGATCAATTAGCTAAGGCTAAGAAACCGAGTTCAAAATAACCAACCATGTTTGGATGAGACTGAAGGGTACACTCAAGGGCAACATGAGAATGCTTCCGACCCATGAGACGGATGAAATAATAGTACTGCCATAAAGAAAAAACGAATGTGAAACTTAATATCAGAATCATAATGAGCACCTTCAATTTGTAACAGATTCCACATTGTTGATCGAAGTTTTCTTATCATCAGAACATGAAGTAAACAAACTTTAGCAAGAAATAGCATTTACCTTCTCTGCAGACAGAGCATCAGTGCATGCATTGCTAATGAGCTGAGAATTCACCTGTTTGAAGCAAGAGATCATCAGCCAAAACAGAGGAAAAAGGGATCATTTGGAAGCAATAGCTACAAAAACTTACTAAGAAAAAAGTAACCAGAGGAGTTAAAGTTGAGTTTTACCTTGCATATGGTGTCAAAACCAACGTTTGCCTCTACAAACTGATTCTTAAGATCTCCATTTGTAGTAACTGGAACACCAACTACCTGAAATTTTGGGGGTCACTTATAGTATCCATAGGTTCTTCTGTTTGAGAATTGAAAATGAACGACCAGTGTGCTTCATAAAGAGATTTTAAATACATAAAAACAATGGAGAAAAAAAAGGATATGGTGATAAAGAACAAGTTAGGACCTTTGTTGAACATTTTGCTTCAGCGAAAAATTCAGCAAGATGAGCGGCATCTGTGTTTGATGTTACACCTTCAAAAAGCCCAATATACATTCTTGGTTTAGTACAAAATTTTGCCAATGGTATAAATAAAGACGTTAGGTATATACCTCCAATGATAACAAGGCCATCTAGCTTCAAATCACTGCAAGCTTTGAGTGCAGCATTCACCTGCTCAGTGGTTTTGATCTGATCCTTGGTTCTTCCAAGCAAATCAAAGCCACCTTAAAACATCCATTTCATCGCCAAATTTATCAGAATAAGGTAATGAACAAGATCTGAGTGTATGCCTTCATCAAACAACCTACCTTGGTTTTTGTAAGTCTGGAGTGTATCATCAGTGATCTCGAGAGTCTTTTGCGCAAATAGACCTTCCGAACCACCTATGGACATTTTTCAGCAGTAATAAAATAAGATAAGTTATCACCAAGTACAAAGCATTATGAACTGCTCACACACAATAAGTAACAGAGAAAAATGAAACATTACCCAAAAAGCCAAGCAAGGTGCTTTTAGCGTTGTGCACCTGCACCTTAAGAGCCTCGTAAAGACCCCAGATTACATTGTGTCCACCCGGAGCTTGCCTTCCACAAAACACGATCCCAACTCTGCAGTAGAAAAACAGATTAAGTAAAAAGATGATGTAAAAACTTTTACTGATAAAGTAAACATAGAGGGAAATTAACAGAAAAATCGAACCTGATGGAGGGAAGCTGAGTAATGATGTGAGCATCAGAAACTTTGGCAGCTTCCCTGAGGAAGTGAGCCAAAGGCTGGCCTAAGGTATGTGGGAAGGCACGTGCTATGATATGGGAATCAGAAGCCTCAGCCACTGTGGTTCCATCACCAAACTCCACTCGGACAGTAGTTCCCTGTTAAAAAAAGAAAAAAAACATCAAGCAGAACAAGAAGCAAGTTTAAAACAGTATTCCAAATCACAGGCAGAACCTCAGGGATATAAGTATGAAATCTGACAAGTTGAATAAAACAGAGTAAATCTAGGACAGCAAATCCAGACCAACTGAAAACTTGGGACAAAACAGATCAGAGATCATTACAAGCTGGAAACTTTAGATCTGCTAATGTTCCTACCGAGTCACGAAAATGACAATAAAAAAAACAGCAAAAACTTGTTTTATTGATTGCAAAAACCCCATGATTAATATATAATATCAAACAAAAAGGGCAAAGTCTTTGCTAATAGATCCAAGTTAATGTAACAAGACAAAAGGAAGCATAAGAAAGAAAGAAACCTGGAGACAAGGAGGAAGCTCAGGTTGGTACTGAGAACGGAGTTGCTGAAGAGGAGAGAGTTCTCTCGGGATTCCGAAATCTGAATCCATTGCCTTTCTGTGTGTGTTTGGTGAGATTTGTTTGAGAAAGAAAGAGAGTGACTTTGAGTGAGCTATTTTTCTTTACTTGAAAAATATATAGTGAGGAGGGAGGAAGACTGAGAATATACTTTTACCACCAACCCCACACTATTTTTTTTAAGTCTCTTTCGGGTCTTTCTTCAGATTCAGAACCAAATCTATCATTTCTCTTATTTATCCAACCATAACTCTACTATTTACAAGAAAGCCACTTGGATCTCTGTCTGTAAATCACCTTCGATAGTACCCATGTTAGTTTATTTAGAAAAGTTGACCTTTTCTTATGAATACAATTATTATCAAACTCAGGACGACTCCACAGCCCCCATGTTACTAGGACACATGCGGTTTGGGTGCAAGTTTCTGATATGATTCTCTCTATAAATCATTACGATACAATTTTCTGTTACTGAGAAAGATCTTTAAGTGATTCACAACACAAAATGTTGCTGCATTGAATCATATTCGTTTGTATAATCTCAGCTTTCAGAGTAATACAACTCAAATATTAGCTTTTTCTTACATGCCACTTCTCTCGATTTTGGTCCGGACCCAAAAAAAAAGAAGGAACATAACCATTAAATACCAAAACAACGCTTACGAACACTCTGTTATTAGAGAGTTGAGATTGCAAATGCTGCACCGAGGAGAATGCGAGACTGTTTCTATCATCAATCTCCAGAATCTGCCAATTCCTGCAAAGAAGAGAAACCATGTCTGATGAGACCAAACACTAAAAAACTTACCTGAAACACATAAAATCACCCTGGACATTAAATGGGCTTATGAACAATGCAATTCAAGTTACTGGAATGGGCCTATAAATGTTTTATATGCTCAACGCGATGTTTAATATGGGCCTATTATACATGTGCCGTAAGTTTTTATAGGCCTATGGTTAGTATCGATCAGAATGTTGAGCACTTCATTACAAGAATATAAAGGTCAACTTTTTTTAATTCTTCTCAACAAGAATCGTTGAAAAATATAGTGTGCGAGTAATAATGAAAGAGGAATGGGAAGACTTTATATTAATGACAGTGAGATGGGGAGCTGATTACTTTGAATGCAATTTTAGATTAGTAAAAGGAAGCACATGCATATGAGACCCAAGGTTCATGTGTGATCATGTGAAAACTGGGCGGACAAAATTAAATAAATATCCCTAAAATATCTTTAGTGTTTGTTGTCAAAGGAGTGTGATCAATGGATCTCAGAGAAAAATATTGTTTTAAAACATGTATTTCCTATAAGAAACAAAAAAAAAATGTAACAAGTATTGTATTGTGTATATTGTATCAAAAATAGATCAACCGACTTAATGTAGAGAATGCTGACAAAAAAACAAACAAACAAAGGAGCAAACCACATAGACTCACTATCACACGTCTCACATATGTAAGCGTGTGACATGTTGCGAAGAAGTGGAATCAAAAAGTTCCAAAAGACAAAACTGTTGAAAACCCACGTACCCAATAGAACTAATCATGTGACATTGCGTCTGGTTGCATTATCTTTAAAAGCTTGCCGGAGATACTTATTGCGAAATAGATGAGCTAAGATGTTAATAAAATAAAGATAATACATATATGAGCTCAAATTATTCATTCTAAGTTTTTGTAACACAAGAAAAACCTCAAAAAAGAAAATGATTAAAAAATGTTTCATGAAAAAGATAAAATAATTTTCTGTGTTTGCTTTATAAATATATAAATATAAATAAAAATTAGAGTTTTTTTATAATTTCGGATTATATGTTTCAAATTCGATTTTTTCTCATTTTGATTTTTCAAATTTTTCTTTTTGAATTTTTTTAAAATTCTCAATATCTATAACGATTTTGAAATTTTTTAAACCTCATTCCCAACATTCACCCGTTAACTTTAAATAAAAAATAAATCTAGACTTAATTAATCCTAGATATATAAAGATATATTTATCCCTAAATAAAATTTCTTTTGGTCTTTTTATATTTAAAGATTATTTTTATGAAAATAAACTAAAAAAAGTTATTGAAATTCTTCTAATAGTTTATTTTTATAAAAAACTTATAGAGAATCTGATTAGTTCTGGTAAAAAACACATTCAGTAGTATAAAGTGGATTTTTCGACTTAAGTTTAAAATGTCTTTGACTTATATCAAAGATAGTTGGATCACTTGTTACCTGGCTATCAAATAAACTATATGGACCAAACACACAAATCCAGATTTCTCGTATAACTGTAATTTAGGTTCAAAAGAAACGAATTCGAAAAAGTATTGTAACACATTCTCAATTCTTTGTCCACAATCGTGCAAACAGTACAATGGTTAATTATATTGGCGTATTCTTTTCTGTCAAAGAGTTCACAACTGCATTACATCTTTCAAAGTTAATGACAAATCCATTATTAGATAATTTTATATAGCAACATATATTCTCATATAGCGAGAGAAATTTTACGTTGGTAAAATTGTTGCATTAAGTTTTGTCGTGATATAGTTGTATGTTTTACGAGTAGATCTAGATTCTTAAAATAATACTATAAGTATAATGAATTTTCAACATGAGCAATTTGTCTATATATAACTGCAAGCGTACGTTAAAACAGCTATTTAGTTTTACTGTGTTTCCTCCGTGAAATATAAACACATTTGATCATATACTTACATTTGTAGGAAAAAGTGACAAAAAGTAGTACTTTTAAAGAACACTTTTGATATGTATACATGACTTTCCATGTGAAGAACCGACTTTCCATGTGAAGAACCGTGTCAACATTACTATAGTTCTTGCATAGATTAACATATAGGAGAACCGTTAAAGAGAATTGATAAGGTCAAAAGATGGATCGCGACGTGACATGCCACCAACCTAAAACTCACCCTCACCGCTTCACGCATTGACCTATCACAAATATACATTTCAGAAAACGTGAAGAGACAACAAGATCGAGTTTCATCCACTAGTTAGCAAATATATACAAAAATCATTTCGTGCAATTTAGAAGCCTCCAACTAATTCACTCCACAAAATTCAAAATAATAAAATTTCTACAAATATAAGTTTTCATATATAGTGTTTTGAAACCCGACCCGGATCCGCGGTTGAACCGGTAAATCCGGTGACCCAAAATAAATCTGATTTGGGTTTTGTTAAAAACCCAAAATTTAAAAACCCGTAAAAACCCGAAAAAACTCGCTAAAACCCAAAATCCGATGTCGGTTGAACCACTGGTTGAACCAATAAATAAAATTTTACATTTTTTTTAGTTGTAAATTATGTTTTAATTCTGTTTTATATTCTAAATTTCTAATTTAAAAGTTAGGATTTCACGTTTTAGTTATTGGCATTGACGTCTTCTTCTTAAAATTTAGATTAAACTTTCCGACTTTTTATCATACATAATATCTATTACACTATTTTATCTGGGATTTTTAAATTTTGATGAAGATTTCACTATACAACCTGGAAAAAATGAACTGAAGGGTGGTAGCGAGAACCAAAATTAGTTGATGTGATTTGGTGTTAGTTTATTTTTGTTATTGTTAATTTATTACAATGATGTTTTACTTTTTGTTTATTTTGGATTTGAATTTTAATTTATTATTCTCATTAGACATTTAAATATTTATGAATTTTATATCTTGATTTTTGTAGATGTCATTACTCTTAACTTGTTATAAAAAAATTAAATTATCTAAACTAGTTTTTGATATTTTGTATATTTATACATTTTATGTTTTAAAAAAATTTAGAAAATTTAGCTTCTATATTTTTTATTTTCATAGCTAATATATTATTATATAATAAAGTTTCATTTATTAATCCGCGGGTGAACCGCGGTCGACCAGTGACCCAATGATCCGGTAAGTCGTCCGGTTCAGTGTCCGGGTCGGATTTAAAAACATTGTATATAACTCGTGTAGTAATTTCTTTTGAAAATCATGGGAATTTATAATTTTAATCTACAATCTCTCTTCACACCTAAAATTAATCTTTAAGTATTTTAATTTATAGAACTTTTTTTTGCTATAACTTAAATCCAAAAAACAAAAAAATCAACCCCTAATATTAGTACACTCTCAGTTATATATATTGTATAGCTGTCTCATTAGTCATTAATTAACTCAAGTTGGTATATTGTTAATATTAGCGGCTACTTACTTTGTTGCCAAATCTAAAACTACCAAACTAATTAGAATTTGGTACGCGTATTGACGTGCTTTCAATTCTATTTTTAAATAAAGTTTTATTTTTGTCAACGGTGAATTTACGAGTACAATTAGCCAAAATTAATAAGCTAGTGTCGTGATATGTTCACGATATAATATGTCTTTTGTATACTCTATATATAATACCACTGAGTTTAATGATGAATTATTGTAATTTTTAGTATGCAAATCAACTTCAGTCGATCGAGAGGTTGAAAAAAAGAAATTCTCATCTTCAACTTATTCGAAAATGGGATGGACCATGAATTGATTGACGGTATATTTTATGACCACATGCATTAGCTGCATAGGGTTATCAGTAGATCCATGTTATAGCGATACATACGCAGACTAGATAGATGATTAAATTACATCTGCAATCTACAGACTAATCCATAACTACTGTAGCTAATTTTAGTAACACAGCTGAATTCTGTACAGACTAATCCATATCTACTGATATTATTATTTTAGCGTCTCGATGCAGCATAAATTTAAGAGGTAAGAAATTACATCATCATTTCGTTTTGATGTGGGAAGGAACATCAGCAAGCAATCAAATAATTCATCCCTAACTCTAAGAAGAAGAACATCGTTTTACGTGTAGAACAGAAAGCGCATATCCGTTTTGGTAACAGCAGGTCCCATCCTTCTCACGCGCTGCTTTATCCTCCTCGAACCGAAACAATCAATGTATTCTCTAGAACCATATCTTTAATGTATTCTTATAATGAATTTTCTAATGTCCTTTCTAAATTAGTATGAAAGCCATTTTTTTTGCTAAATATATAAATATATGTTAGATTTAGAATAAATATGATTAAACAAACAATTTATAAAAAAATTTTATAATTAAATACAGTCTTGTTTAGAAATACTCTTAATCTTACAAAACAATATTAGCATATTAATTAC